GCCAAAGTCAGGATGGGCCCACCCCAAGCGCTTGGCCAATCAGATCATTGACACAAAGCCAATCTCACCTCAACAGTCAACTGCTTCATCACGAAACACTAAAACAAAAGAAAAGTAAGTTCCTCTCATTTTTTATTGTTTCCTTTTTTCAGATCATGTCCGACTTGGCTGTGATGAACTCAACAGAACTCAAGATCAAGGAAAACAAGGAAAGTTCACATGTTCTGGTTGAGGAGCTTCAACACCTAAGCAAGAAGCAATCAAAAAGGAAAAAAGGAAGATAGAAGAAAAAAGGGCCTACAAAAACAGTTGACTCACCTACCAGCATTGAAATTCAAATGCCATCATCAAACCAGACTCCCAGAGGTCCGCAAACTCATCCGTGAAAATGTCCACAGTAAGGAAATGAAGATTGTCGATGCCATTAAGGCTTTCAATGTAAAGATGGCCATTGGTACCCTGGTACCTCCTTTGTTTTTCTCAGAAATGTGTAAAAATGGTTGAATCAATACTTTATAGAAATATTATTATAAAACTCAATAGAAGTAATAATCTTGACAAAAAATAATGATAAGTAAGTATGATCAAATCTGATAAACAATAACAAAGGAAATGAAATGAAAAATACCTGATGAGTCAGATCAGAATGCAACAAAGTTAAAATACAAAAACACAACAACGTCGACTTCTTTAACACGAGGATTATCACAACGAAATAGCCTGATAATAAAAAATAAGAAACGGTCAATAACTTGTAACAATCAACGAGAATGTAACATAAATGACGCTACCTGCCCAGAAGCTAGATCTAGCTCCTCCTGAATGTTAGAAGCGGTCGGTTGATGAGTCGAGTATCGAAACTTGATTGATCAGCGATCAAATAGGACCTCAGATGATTTTGGTTGATGATGATTGAGATTGTGGTGAGCAACTGATACGGAAGGGAAAAATGAAAATGATCGGCGGAGAGTGTAGTTGCTTGTCGAAGAGTAGAATGACGCAATCGATTTGGTGATGAAGAATAACAGCGCGAGGATGAAGAGATGCATAAAATGACTATGCATAAAACTATGTGCGAGTTTGAATTTCACAACACTCCTCCTAAACACGCACATTTTCCAAATGTAATTGTTTGAAAGCACCAGCTAATTTAATTTTTCCAAAAGGTTTTGTGAGTATATCCGCTATCATCTCGAATGTACTGATTTGCTTAATATGTAAAACCTTTTGCATCATGAGCTGTCGAATGTATTGAAATCAAATTTCAATATTTTTTGTGTTCGGATTCAATTGAGGTTCTTCACTTATAATCACCGCGCCGGAGTTGTCGTTGAAAATTCTGTGGGAATGTCGATTTGAATCTTGAGAGAAGTAATCAAGTTAGATATCCACCTAAGCTGTTTTGCACATTTGTTGATAGCAATGAATTCAGCTTCAGTTGTCGATTGAGCCACAACAGATTGTTTCTTAGTCGTCCAAGAGATTGGATTGCCGAAAAAAGTAATGACATAGCCGGACATTGATTGTTTTGTAACAAGTGAAGTACCGTAATCCGCATCAGCCCATCCCACAAGGGCATTCGATTTATCACCCTTGGAGAAAGTTATCCCGACATCCTTCGTACCACGAAGATATCTCAAAAGATGTTTGACTAAGGACCAATGAGCTTCTGCAGGAGAATTCGTAAACTGAGCCAGAACATTTACAGTAAAAGCGATATCCGGACAAGTGTGAAGAGCTAAATAATTCAACATTCCAATAGCCTTTTGCATCACTTTCTCATTGATTGATGGTGAGTCGGAGGCAACAAGTCGATGAAAATTGAGAGGGGACGGAGCTTTAACCGGATTTGAATCATTCATACTGAATTCATCAAGGATTTTTGACACAAAGTCGGATTGATGAATAAACAAAGATCTATTTTCATTCCAAACTAGTGTATAACCAAGATGTTGCGTTGGGCGTTCTTTGATTTTGAGAGAGTACGTCTTTTGAAGATTCTTGAGAAAGGTTAGGATTGCTGGGCGAGATTTTCCAATAATTAATCCGTCATCAACGTGCATGTGAAGGAGAATTGAGTTGTCCCAGTTGTGAAAAAGTGCATTGTCGAGAATGGATGCAGTAAAACCGATTGAATTCAATGTTGATACCAAATGAGCTTTCCACATGCAAGGCGCTTGTTTCGTTCCGTAAAGAGATTTTTGAAGTTTCCAAACCCATCCCTTTTTCTTCGGATCAGGGTCTTCAAAACCAAGAACTTGCGAAACATAGATTGAAGCATCAATGTCACCGTAGAGAAAAGCAGTTTCAACATCAAACTGAAAAACGCTGAGATCTTCATTGACTGCGAGAGAGAGCATCATTTTCAACGACTCGTTTCTAGCAACAGATGAGTATGTTTCGAAATAGTGAAGCATATGTTCTTGATGATTCCCAAAAACAACCCAGCGAGCTTTGTGTCTTGAAACTTCGTTGAATTCATTTAGCTTTCGAGTCAAAAGCCACATTCCGCCAATGATTTTGTCGTCAGGAGGAGGTGGAGTTAGGATGCCGGTATTCTTGACTTGCAACGAATGAAATTCAGACAAAATTGCATCATTCCATTCAATTTCATGTTCATTATCCATCATAGCTTCATTGATAGATACCGATTGATTCAAGTTCAGTTCCGGGAATTCATCGTCCATCACAACATTCAAGTCTGGTAAACTGGGATTTTTACGACGCGAACCTTCAATAATATGTGATGGATCAATTTTCGAACTGATGTCTTTTGAAGCTTTCTGACTAGTTGCACCCCAAGTATACGTGTAGTGTTTAGTTGGTGGAGGCAAAACCGGAGGAACAGATAGAGTTGGAGTTGACATGTCAAGAGTTGGAGATGGAGGAATCGGGGGCAGAGAAGGGGGAGAAGATCTGATCGGAGAAGTCATTGGAGGTGTAACAGAGGTTGATGACGGTAAGTTTACCGGCAAATTGACACAACTAGACTTGTCTTCTGGAATGTGAACCGATACGTAATCTTCCTTTTTATCCATTTTTTCAGGCACGAATGATGTGGGCAAAGTTTCAGGTAACTTAATCATCGCTTTTGAAGAACCGTATGGAAAAGATAGTTTTGAAGGAGTAAAATCTCGACTGATTACGATTTTACGAGATATGGGATCGAAAAAACGCATTGCATCCGATTTGGGCTCATATCCGAGGAATAGGAGTGGTTTCGACGGAGGAAGAACTTTTGACAAAGGAGATTGATTGTGAACGTAAACTTTGAGACCAAAAGGAATCAACGTTTGAACATGTCTAGGCTGTTCAATCTTCAAATCGCAATCGACTAGAATTGACATCGGTGATTTCCAATCGAGAGAAGATGTCGGCAACATGTTGATCAATGTTGAAGCAAATTTTGCAGCTTCATCCCAATAATTCAGTGGAACCGTACATTGAGCAAGCATACATCGAATTTTGACCAACAGAGTTCGATTGAAACGTTCAGCTAAACCATTTGTTTGAGGTGAATTAGCTGGACCTTGTTCTAAAGAGATACCTCGTTCAAGCAGAAAGTTTTTCAGAATATTGGAACCAAACTCACCACCACGATCGGTGTGCAAGACAGCAGGATAAATATCAATTTGATTTTTAATCTCATTGATATAAGACATAATCCTTGATTCAGACTGATCTTTCCTTTGAAGCAGATAAATTCGGTTGAAACGAGAGAAATCGTCGATCAAGACCAGAATATATTTGAAACTGCCACGAGAGACCGGAGAAACCTGTAGAACGTCCATGTGAATCATTTTGAATGGAGACGAGGCGGAAGGAAGGGGATTTGAATGAGAGGAACGCTTTAATTTAGCCATTCTACATACCTCACATTCAGCTGAAGAACCGGTTTCAGAGTTTTTGGATATCTTCATTAGGTCGAAGAACTTTTGCACGTAAACATCCGATGGGTGACCAAGAATGATATGCCAGTCTTTCAACGACTGTTTTTCACAGAGAGAGAAAAGTGAGTTGGCGGTGAAATGATATGAGCTAGACGAAATGTATAAATCGCCAGATCGAGGGAATTTTTTAATAATTGATGATCCCATACAGACAGTGATGAGTTTATTCTTGTGAAATATTCTGAAACCGTGATCTTCCAGTTGTGAAACTGAAATGAGATTACATTTGCCGGCAGGAGCTAAATAAACTGGGTAAATGAAATATTTCCCAAATTTCATCGATCCGATGTGAGTGATTTCAATCGAACCAGAGTAAGTCCTCATTTTCTTTTCAATCGGCTTCATATTAGATAGAAGACGGTGATCGGATACGGTTGACTTTGAAGCTCCTGTATCAAGAATCAATCGGACATCGGAAGATTCAGTACCGATGTGAAAATTGTTATCTTCATCGACAAAGAAACCAGAGTCATCTGTATCATGATGAGTTATGTCAATCGAATCAAAATGATTTTCGGTATCGATATTCACTAGAGTATCTGAATCATCGGAAATGTTGCCTAAATCGACGTTCTCGCCTGAAACGACATTCTTGTCTGAAATGACGTCCTCGCTAATGAAGAAACCCCAATCGTCTGAGTCGTTTCCTTCATCGACAGCCTCAGCACGATTGTCTTCTTCATTTTCAGAATCTTCAATCGCATTTAAGTCTTGTTTTTGAAGTTTCTTCAATGATTCAATTTGATCATGAATCATTTTTTGAACTTCATCCTTCTTCATCTTGACGTCATTCGATCCAGATGGATAATTTGAGCCAGATGGACGATTTCTAGTCGGAGCGACATTCCTAAATCGTTGAGAAGGTAAAGCCTTGAACTTTTCTTTGTTTGGTCGAATGAAGTTCGATTGAGATTGAGAAATAGCATTTAACGATCCAGATGGCTTATCAACACGAGTATCTTCAATGTTCATTCAAGCCGCAAGTTTTTCAAATGTAAACGGAATGATATCGTACAGGTTTTGAATAAGAGCGGCAAGAGTATCATCATGTCAAAAGCTTTTGAGAAAGAAAATTCCGGCCATTTGTGTATCGACGTACATAGTCGTAGTAGTGACCGAAAAAGAAGATTTAACCGAGTTGTACAAATTTTGAAATTTTGAAACGTGAGCACCGATCAAAGTACCTGGAGTATAATCACAGCATACTAATGCGTATAATTTATCTCCGAGCTTAATGAGTGACGTTTCGCCGCAAGTTTCAGCCAAATCCTTCATAGCATCGGTGAAAGTATTTGCGGCAGCGGCGATGGGTTTGAGATCGGATGAGAGACATTGTCGAAGAAGAGTAAACGCAAGTGCAGATTTCTTTCTGAATATTTTTTCCTTCTTGTGTTCTTCAATCCAGATGGGGTCAAAAATTTCTTCATGACCTTGTCCGGTTAAGAGATCCACAAAAAATTGTTTCCATTCAGTCCAATTGTCCCGATGAAGTTTGAGTAATTTTGCTTTCTCTTGATGTTCTTCACCACTTGACGAATCGTTCATCGCAGTTTTCTCCTGATGAGTCGACATTCTAATCGCTTGATCTGAATACACTGATTATTCTTAATTTGAGTTTTATAACTATCAAGTATTGACTCTCGCTACCATGTAAAAATGGTTGAATCAATACTTTATAGAAATATTATTATAAAACTCAATAGAAGTAATAATCTTGACAAAAAATAATGATAAGTAAGTATGATCAAATCTGATAAACAATAACAAGGAAATGAAATGAAAAATACCTGATGAGTCAGATCAGAATGCAACAAAGTTAAAATACAAAAACACAACAACGTTGACTTCTTTAACACGAGGATTATCACAACGAAATAGCCTGATAATAAAAAATAAGAAACGGTCAATAACTTGTAACAATCAACGAGAATGTAACATAAATGACGCTACCTGCCCAGAAGCTAGATCTAGCTCCTCCTGAATGTTAGAAGCGGTCGGTTGATGAGTCGAGTATCGAAACTTGATTGATCAGCGATCAAATAGGACCTCAGATGATTTTGGTTGATGATGATTGAGATTGTGGTGAGCAACTGATACGGAAGGGAAAAATGAAAATGATCGGCGGAGAGTGTAGTTGCTTGTCGAAGAGTAGAATGACGCAATCGATTTGGTGATGAAGAATAACAGTGCGAGGATGAAGAGATGCATAAAATGACTATGCATAAAACTATGTGCGAGTTTGAATTTCACAACAAAATGGACACCAGGTACCTCACCTGGCACCCCCTGGCGGGTACCAGCGGTACCTGCGGCCGCAGTGCAAATGGCACTCTTGTGACTTGAAATTGCAGTTCACTTTTTTTTCTCACTACATGCAAGTATTGCGTTGAGCTAATCTTCTAATACTATCAACTTTCTTGTACCTTTCCCATCTGATTTACCCTTCTTAGCAGTCTGAATACCATCTTTCCACTTGGCCAACATCCCATTTTTTGAGTAGAAGGCAACGGCCATGCCCATCACCCTACTTAGTGACTGCACAGTAAAGAGGGTACCTCTAGCAGTACCCTGGTACCACCTTTGTTTTGCTCAGAAATGGACACCAGGTACCTCACCAGGCACCCCCTGACAGGTGCCAGGCGGGTCCGGGCGGTACCAGGCAAACGGGTGCCGGGTACCGATGTCCATCTTTATTTCAATGTCTCCCACTACCAAATTAAATGGATCACGGCTAAGGACCCTGATCAGGTCAAGACTCACAAAAAGGGACTGAGCAAGTTCACTGACAATATGAAGAGTCGAAGACTGAGGTTCTTCTGGAACTCAATCAAAAGTTGACAACAGCACTCCCAGAGATTTTCAAATTTATCCAGGAGCAATTTGGTGAGAAGGTTTCAACACAGGCCATCAGCAACCTAATGCATGATATGGATATATCAAGGAAACAGGTTACTAATATACCTGTAGCCTGGAATAATAACAAGCTAATTTTGTGAATGACCGTGGTTTGGACCTTGTACAAAGGGTTTTTTTAATTTATGAGGCCGGGTTCAATCTCCATTCTAGTTGGGCATTTGGATATTCCCCCTCAGGTTTGTTCTTAGCATACTTCTTTTTTTTTCTCTGTTTCATATTGATTTTTTTACCTTTTTTGTTTTGTATTGATTTGTTTTTTTTGTTCTTCAGGTCAACCTGCTGTGCTTATCCTTGTTCCCAAGGCCAAGCAGGTGACCTTAATAGGAGGTATCACATATAAGAAATCCACTGGTACAAACCAGTGACTTTGCCAAAAAAAATTTTTTGCATAAATGGGTCCCCAAAGGGGTTAGGTAAAGAACCAACATGTTTGAAAAATTGTGGATTTTTCCAAACCAGTCAGTTAAAAATTGGTGGATTTGGCCATATTTGATACCCCCTAATAGGTGCTCTTTTGGTCAATGGATTTGATTACTACAAGCTTCTCAATGCCTACAACACCAAGGCAAAAGGGGTGGGGGCAGATGAGGTATGCCTTTTCCTTGGCAACCTTAGTGCTAGGCTGCCCAACAAATTGATTATAATCATGGACAATGCCCCAATTCACCAAGGCCATTGCTTTAAGGAGGTCAGCATCTCCCTCAACTTAGACATCAAAATCCATCAAGATCAAGTTCTTACCACCATACTTGCCATTCCTAAATCTCATCAAATACAGCTTTCACTCCATCAAATCTTATGTACCATCAAAGCAGTCACCTAATTGAGCAGCTTTAGTTGAAGAAACAAAAATGCAATTCACAAAGTAATCACCTCCAAGAAGTCAAAAAGTTATTTTTCACATTGCCAGAGACTCTACCGCCCTTTTGAAGACTTCCAGCAAATCACCGGGTCAGTCTTGATGGCTCCTCCTGCTGAATAGAGTTTTTCTTCTTTTTTCTAAAGTTATCATATATTTTTATTTATTCTTATAATTCTTTACTTTTCATGATGAATTGTCTTGAATCAAACTTCCCATCCAAAATGTCCATCTTCACTGTTTTTTGAAAGCTATTCTTATCTTTTGCATGCTTTTTTGTAACACTGAAACATAAAAAAAATCATTCAAAAAAAACTAATAGTATTATGGTGCTAACATGATTGATCAAGGAAGATCGTTGACATGGATTTTGATTTTTTATTTATTTCTATTAATCAAATTGGTTTGTATATCTGTAGTAGTTCTGACAGATTTCAAATCTAGAAAGAGACCCAGGATGGCTTTGTCTCATTTTGCTATTGTGCATTAGTCAAAAAGAAAAATGATCAGATTGCCCAAATTATGAGGGCCTGTGGCCCTGTACCGTATAGCATGAATGTTCAATCTTCCAAATTCAATCTCCTCAAATTTCCAAATCATCAAGAGTGACCATCACCAAAAGCCAGTCTTGGTCCCAAAGTGAAGACTTTTAACAACAAATCTCCCCACTTTTTTTGAATTTTTGTGTACATAGAAGACCAAAAGATCACATTTTTAAAATTGAATCCCACAGTACAGGCCCTAAATTTCTTTCTACCCACTGTTATCCGAGCTTAACACAAATCCCTCCCTCTCAGGGAGGCGGAGAGCGTCCCTTCTGGACGCGGGCGTCCCTTCTGGACGCGGGGTCCCTTCGGGACCCTCCGATCGAGAGGCTTATGTTAAGCTCGCTGTTAAATATGTATCCTGTATCCTCAATGCTTTCCTTGAAGACTATGTATTCATGTCATGCGTGTATACACATTCCTTACTCCTTGTGGTGCGCCATGCACTGCCTCTCGGCCGCGAGTGAGGTTCCAACCCGACCGACCCATCGAATACATCCGTGTGAGGAAAAGATTGATTTTCTGGATCAATTGTTCAATTGTTTAACTTGTGGAAGTACTGTACTACGGAGTGAATTGTTTGAGCTCGCGGAGGTTCTGTAAGGTGGCCTTTTCTCCAATCCGCCATTTTGGCTTACAGCAACATACAGTGTCTTTTAAGTTCCAGCTGAGTGTAAAGCTTGAGACCCTGCTAGCCGTTCGCCCATGGAGCCTGCGCCGAGATTCCAGATTATTTATATCACCATCCCATCTGCCCCCATGTCTGCCCCATTGGAAATTTCACTTGTTCTGATTGCCTCTAATAATTATCCAAATTACTATAGCTTACTTTACTTCTAATTAGATCAAAATCCAAAAAAGCGGATATCAATCTCCCTCCGATCAGTGTGGTTAGAAATAAAATCCTTACGAGCCTTGTTGAAACATTGCCCTTTTTCCGCTCATAACGAAATAACGTCAAAATGAAACTCCTCGCAACCTTGATGGTTCAAGTTATCGTCTTAATTCTAAATCTCACGGCCCTATCGTGCGTCTCGCGACCATTTGGATTTCAATCAATAGAAGCAGCCGAGAGTCCGGCAGAGGTCAAATCGCTTTGGAAGCGGTACCAACCTCACAAACTACCAGGTAAATAAATTTATCTCCCAAAAATACTGGCTCTCGTAGGATACTATCTCTAAATTTTTGTTCAACTCTAGGAAAGGTAACAATAAAGTCGCATCGCGGGACACCTCGAACGCCAAAGGGTCATTATTTCATTATCCCCCCTCGCCTACCGGTAATATCTAACCCACCACACAACGACAAAGGGAAATCACAATCAAGAAAATTCCATTGATGCGGTTTTGCAAGACGATCTCATGTTCCTTATTTTCTCTGATTCGGACTAAAATTATTGAAGTCACTATCCATTCCGGACCAACAATCTTTCTGCCTGTTACATTCTTTTTCTCACAACAGAGCTAAAATCTCTTGCTAGACGAATGTTCTTTGATTTATCACATCCTCTCATGAAATTAGGCTAGTTCTTCTTAGTCTTCACGATATGAAGCTCACAGAATGTTGCAATGTGATTCCCTTGATGTTTTGTATACGAACTCGATGATAAGGATTCCACATGCCTGTCAGGAATATGACCCTACATGCTCGAGACAAAGTAGAACTGAGAATTAAACATCAACCAGAAATCAGTATTTCTTACCAGCTGTTTTATATCTTCCAGGCAGACACCAATAGAACGAGCATGAATTTTTGCGTTTTAACAAATTGGCCTTCAAAGTTTTGTCTGATTCAAATTCAAATATTCTATTGACGCAAAAACATTTCAGCACTGATGTTTGCCGGGCCCTTTAGTCCTAGACCGGAAAAGCTTTTCAGTATCGGTCCAATGGAATCCAACCAGTAGAACGAGGAAGCATCTTACAGCATAAGGCCTCGATGAACTGGCTTGTTGGTATGACTTGTCAACGCATTGCAGAAGAAGAAATAACTCAAGACATTCACAAAAAGCATTCGAAAAGTCTGAGATGACTGATTGGCAATAATGTGCGTGACAGACTGACCGGAAGCTTAGTGGCCTCCGAGGAAAACTCGGATAGGAGTCGCTTTCGGACAAGCCTTGACGAGCAGATGGCGTATCGAGGAGCAACAGGAACACACGCGACGTACATTTTGTGAAGGAAAAAGTAGATTGCATGTCATGATGCTATGAAGTGAAGAACAAACAAACGCGCCTCATTGGTGATAAGGAAAACGCATGACCTGCTACATATTGGAGCATATTGGTGGAGCAGTGGTAGGCAGTGGTCATTCGGTATTTGATCTTAACACGTGTCACGCCTCAACATCGGCTTCACGCAGTAACCGGCCGAGTTGGGGCCCCGCCGCCACCCGAGCACGAAGCTGGACATGCGATTTTGTCACCTTCTATCTGCCTACATATGCACATGCATGCACTCAGCGAACGAGTTATCACGACTTGCACGCCGACAGACAAGTTGCGGCAACCGAGCGGCGAGAGTTCGAGGACCCCCAGAATTGGCTGGAGGAAGTTAGATGGCTTGTGGAATGCACATTTCAAAGTGTCCAATTCTGTGCAGTTGTCAGGATGATAAGGTCCCTTTTCCGGATCCCGCTCAGCTTGCAAGCAGTACAACAAATCCGAATCGGACACTGTGGCTTTCTCGACTCAATCGGCGGAATGCCGCACGTTTGATAAATGAAATCTCTATCGAGCACTGCATCCTACATACTCCATCGATTGACGCAATTGTTGGCTTTAAGGCATCTTATCTTGAAGTCACATCATCAACGCGCTTTCCGCGCATCTGCCATCCTCATCTTATTATGCCCTGTGTCGCTCCCCGTGAGGTATAGATAAACATCTTACGCCTTCCGAATGATTACGATATAAAATAAACCTGCCCGAGGTGGCAAGTTCTCTTTATCCCCCTTTTGCATCCAAAGATCATTCGCTTCGCCACCAAATTAGAGTCCAGTACTCCTATAACTTATGTAAGCTTCTTTTTTTTTTGACAAAAACGAAGGATTCTGATATTTGTCTTGGATGCACTCCTATAGCGATTTTTAAACTTGTCATCTCAACCACTCTCATTTCCTGATTCCTGATCATCAGACTCTCACTTTCGGAAGATAGTTACCAAAATGCTCAAATCTATCGCGTTAGTCTTCATGCTTATGGCACTATCTTGTACGTCTCGACCATTCGACACGCGCTACGAAGCAATAAGGGCAAACCTGGGCGAACGAAATGCCATTGAAAGGCCCGAACCGAGGGAATATGATCAGGACTTGACTGATAACATACCTATGGTCATTGAAAACCCTAAGGATTTAGTTGGTCACGATTTCCGCCTTCTGGACACTCACCTGGTCAACACGGAGAAACACACTCGGAAGTCCTATTCCCTCCTCGAGGTGGGAGGAAGCCCTGCTCCCATTAGCAATCTCCACGATTTGCCGCGTTTGAAATCTGAATCACAATACGCCTCACCAGGTAATGACTTGCTCCCAGTCTTTCTCATCATGTTTATCATTCTCAGCTCGGGGATTTTCTAATGTGTGTGTTTTCGCCACGAGTTGCAGTCTTAACAGAGTGATTCAACTGGATTCGAATTGGACTTTTATCGTGCTTCCGGTCAAGCTCGGCTTGCGTTTGACTTTCCTTTGTCGCAGCATCACTTCCGTTTCAAATTATTTCATTATTGACTATTTTTAATTTTATACAATTATTATTATCAACACATGTGTCCGCTCTTTCAAAATCCCTGCACAACTTTTCATAGGGCTGGTGTTATTGTCTTGTCTTCTTTACTTTCAAATTTGGCAAGCCCAGTCAGTTTCACCTTTCATGGTAACGCTCTAAAAGAGCATATGTTATGCATCAACCAGGTATTGATTTATTCTAGGCGCTTAACCCAAGACATGCTGGCTCAAGGTCTTGCAAGACTGTTTGGATTCGAAAGATAAAAACCATCACTTTGTTCTAGCCTTATTCAGAACAGATCCAGTCCAGCTTGACCAGTCTAATTTTTGCTTTGCCAGCCCAAGAATCGGCTTTTGGTAGGAGAGTCGCTACCTTGTTGAGCTAACTTGACCGAAGTGCCTCCTCCTCCTGAGGCCCTTGACAAGATGAGACTATTTTGTCGCAGGAGATGGGACTTATTCTGAGTTTTGAGCATGCTTCTCTCATTTGACCAGTTTGTAACTGCTCCGCTGCACGGTTGTGGCAGTACTTAGAACATACACTGTCAAAATAGTCAGTATGGCAGGGTCCATCATTTGGCAAAATCTTGAATGCTGATTGCTTGTTGTGATCACACAGTTGGCCAAGTTCATGGCATCAATCAAGTTTGCCCCTTAGGCCCCTAAGTAGCTCTTGGCTCAAACTGTTGACTGAGAACCCATGTTATTGATGCCAAGAGAAAATGCATGCAGACTGTCAAAGCAGGTCAAGGCAAGTTTTGATAGCACTAGCACCAAACCCAAAGTTGCCATAAATTTCCATCAACGGTGCCGTCAAAATTGGCTTGAGGGATAGGCTACAAGTCTTGACGAATTCATAGCCTCTAGTAGCACATGTGGACAAAGAGCCAAGCACTTTGAATAACCCCTCATTCCCTTGCGCTTTACCAAAAGGAACCTCTTGCTTTGAAGCTTGAGCTAAGCCTTGCTTCCAGCTGCCAACTAGAAATTTGGTTCCGTGCCAACTTCATGTGATCCAATTGCATAAGATCAGGAAGCTTATGGCTGCCATCAGAGCAGTTGCATGCTAAAATCCCTCTACAAAGTTTAGGCTCTGACTGCGACAGTGAAAGGCCAGTCAGTGTTACAACTTCCAAGAAATTAGAATAAGCATGCAACAGTTGTAGTATGTATCTACTCAGCTGAAAAAAACCACATTGATTATTGTGACTGTAGAGTGATGACGAATGGATACGCCACCGTAGTGGCCACACCGGCGCCAGAACGGAATGCTGACAGTGCTGCTGACTTCCTTAAATATAATCTAAAATGAGTTGACTGCACCTGATGTATTACAAATGACCCCCAGCAGTGGCTAATCGAGCCTCTCCCTGGAATAAGCTGGAATCGCCTTGGATGGCAATCCACAATAGCATGTGTTATTTTACACATAAATGTGCAGTCAAGTAAAAATACTTATCATCACGGATTTTTGGGCTGATTTTGTAGGGTATATGTTGATCTTCGAAGTGCTTGGAAAATGGCTTACACATATTTCAATCCATCAATCTCATGGACGGACACTCCGGTCCATGTGTAACGTTTTGCGATAGATATTAAAAGCCTGCCTGCTGATTAGAGGGTCCTGCTTCATCCTCATCTCAACTCCACCTTACATAAAAAAATATTATAATTAAAACCTTCAGAGCAAGTTTACCCTCAACTTTGCCCTACCGCTCCAAAGCATCTTTCCTCAAGCCGACTTTAGTTATTGAGCATCCTAGTACTCCCATCAAGTAGGTGATTGATTTGTTTTTTTTTCCCTTGGATTACAAAACTGTCAAAGGAATGTGGTTATGATTCAGAACTTCAATGTGTTTGAACACTTTCAATATTAACTTCTCTTCTCCCAGAATGCAGTTCGCCGCGATCCGAATGCATTCAGTTTCGATCTTAGTGCTCATCATTGTGACCTTGGCATGGACTTCAAAAGCTCGTCAATTACGCCCGGCGACCATAGAAGCCAACCGACGGCTCCCGAACAGACTTTGGAGACGAAGGGTGCACATCCACAACACCGAATCCTTCGTCAGTCGAGACAGTACCCAAGTCGACATTAGCGCCGAGGTCGAAAACAGCTACGAGAAGGAAAGTCGTCGAGTGCAGGACTTAACTGAGAGCCGTGACCCTTCCGCATTCCAACCAAGCTTTGCACGGGCCATCCCTATCGCCTAACGCGCGCTCACATACAAGATCGTCTACCCTTCTTTTCCACCTTTGCTTCAATTGCATTGGCTTCACCACCCTGTAAGATTAGAAAAAAGAAAAACATCAATGGCTCAAGTATCTGCAACTCCGATTCTATCCTACTCTCATTTTATCTTTATGTATTTACTGAGACTGGGCTCAGCATTCTATAAAGCACATTAGTTGGTTGGATATTAATGCAACTGGTCATCGTCATCACATTTTACATTTTATCTCTTTCATAACCTCCACGCTACTCCGATTCTATCTTCCTCTCATTTTATCTTTATATATTTGTTATCCTGGCACAATACTATTCCCGCTTCGTAATTTCTGGATCTATAGTTCCTCATCCGAGAGTACTAAGAATTTCTAATCACGTGCTCTGACACCTTTAACCGGGAAAAAAATATTTTACAGTGAATAAACATGAGAAAATTAGCATTAGAACTGAGCCTATGGAATTAACTTGCCTAAACTCCCCATAATAAAGTGTAAAAGACAGTCAGAGCCAGATTCCTTTGAGTAAGGAAAAATGAGCAAAGATCTAGCTTTTTCAACTGCCAGACACCTGCTTCAAAGGCATGACAAAAATGGCAGCAAGAGCACATAGAATAGCTAATGGAAAATCAAGCCAAAAGCTCCATTGCCCTTTTTCAAATATAGCAAGACTCTTGAGCCCAAGTGTTTCCTAGAACACCAATCAAAAATAACAAGTTTCTTCTTCTTATCAGCAAATTCCACAAGAGAATAAAACCCCAAGCACAGGTCTAATTCTAACTTAACTAAGTCCCTGCCCCCCTCTGTTGGAGCAGTAAACCACTTATTGCATTGTACCAATTGGAGGGAGGAACTTATGTCTAAATTCAACCCTGCGGCCTGAGATCATTAGGATTTTTGGCAGGCAGTCCTTCATAATCAATCTGACACAAATTTGGCCAATTTATATTTCTTCTATTTTTCACATTGGGGATCTTTCAATCTGTCCCCATCTATGTACTAAATTTGCTAATGATAAACACATTGGTGAAATATCTGTGAAACTCAAGCATGCAGCATGTTATCCAGTGACTGCAATGAGACTTGTGATCAATTTGTACCAATGGTTAGGGGCAAGATCTTCAAGACAATCAGCACTTGCCACTCATCTTGTCTCCTTTTTCCTCAACCTTGTCAAGACTCACTACTGCTTGCTCAAGCTCATCTACATCAAGTTTCACCACTACTTGCTGATGCTTGCCCAATCACTCAAGATTGCTCAAAGCTCCTCAACTACTAGCCAACACTGGATCAATTGTCCAGTGTAAATTCATCCTTGAATGACTCTCAATCACCACAGTCCCAACTCATACACTCTCTGCCTCTCAATTGTCCTCAGTCTTCATCAGTGCTTATCTATCTCCTCAAGATCTTCTTCTCTGAAGAACTCCATACTCATTTCTGCTCGATTTGTTTACATTTCTTTTCAGCCTTTTTCTTGTTCTTTGTTTCCCCTTCTATTTCTCTTGTTTGATGGGTAAAAAAATGAAATTCTTTTTTGTAATTAATTTGTCCTTTTCCATTTTAACTCTTTCTTTTCAGAATCTTGCTTGCTCTCTGCTGTCATCCTCCTTCAAGTCCTCAAAAAAAGTGTTAGCATAGCACACTTTTTTGCGCCCAAATGCCATAGTGTTAGCACTTTTTTAGTGTATTTTTCCTACACTACGCTGCATTATGGGCCACTAACATTGCTACAGGGCCAAATTTCCTTGTGGGCCCTTTTTTGGGGCTTACACGCATAGTGTTAGCTCAGACATTGCAGAATTCTGCTACACTACACTAAAGTTTAGTGGAATTCCACTACATTATGCCACACTGACACTACAGTTAGTGTAACTGGCCCACTGTTGGCTATAGCCAATAAACCAATCACTAAACTGGTGTAATCCAATAGCAAACACACATCTGTTAAACAACATTCCAGAAAAACCTATGTACTGTCAGCCACTGGGTACAAATCACAGGATGTGACATGTACCATAATTCCTTAATTTACGTTTCATACTGGAAAAATTTATTTAGTAACAGTTGTGAAAGTTTATGTATATATTCAAATAAAATGTTTTGATGCTCATATATTTAATTTATATGTATATACAAATATAAATCATAAGAATAGAATATGGAAAAGAACTTGTCAAACCCCTGCATAATTTAGAGGATTGAATATAATGAAAAGTTCTATTTTATTAAAAACAGATAAATTCGTCACCTCTCTGTTTCGGCGGGCAGCAGTTACCCAAGACCCTAAAAACTGTCCCCGGCCACGGGTTCACATTGACTTAATCGTCTACCGCCAGGATTTAGCCCCACAACTTAGTATTGGGACGAATGGTAAGGGTTCAATACCCAATACAAAGTTGCGGACAGATCCTCTCCTATTAACCTGCCTTTACCCCGTTCACCAACAGCCTGCTTTTATACTCACCCCCCCCCCAAACCCACTCCCCCTGATTCGATCTCTCAAAATCCAACTCTCTTATCCCTTTAACCGGATCCGGACGCACTTTGGCCGGCTTCAGTCACCCACCCATCACCTGGCCTCACCGCCCCAAACCTATACCGCTACCTGGATCCGGACACACTTACTCCCCGACTTCCAATTCTATTCATCCCCCTCTACTTAAACCGGCCACTGACTGATGTTTTCCACGGGTGTGGGAATATGGAGGGGTCGGTTGAGGGAGAGTGTTGAATACCTCGGTGCCGATAGGATCCAATTTAAGCAATGGTACATAAGGTAGGAAGAACCCGGTGTCGGTCTTGGCCGCAGAGTTATGCCTTTTCCGGAGTTGAGGGCTCAGAATAGGAATTGAGAATTGTTGCTAAAAGCAATTCTTGAGTCAGTTTAAGCTGAGGTACATAACTGTTTTGGAGCATAAATATGTGACAAGAAATCTGTTTGCTGGTTTCGTTCTTGTCATCACTTTCACCGACCCATCCACTCCACCACCTGCTGGATCCTCCTCTTCTCCTACTGCTACTCCGACCGCCTCACCCACTTAGGGTGGATCGGAAACAGTTTCCTCATCACAATCCTCAGATCGCTTCGCGTGATCGACTCCTCCTTCCATTTCCTTCCAATTTCATCAGATGAATGTTTTTCCCCTTTTTTTCTCTGTATGTCTCTGCTAATAGTCGAATTTGTTTTCTTTTCGAAAAAAAAGCCTCCGCTCTTCACTTCTAAAGTTGACAGGGATGAACGCATCGATTTCGTGTTATTCTCATGGTAAGTCCATCGTTCTATTTAGTCATCGTGAATTGCGGATGTTTCAATAACATCAATCTAGAATGGCTTTCTGCTTTCACCCAAGCAATAAAACAGTCATATCATGTCCTTCTTCCAGTCAGTCGTTTTTTGGTAAGCGTGTTTCTCATACTTCTCTTTTTCCGACCTTGCTAATGCACCTTTTCCGACCTTGCTAATGATTGGTTTGGATGACCACTTGCAGCAGATGTGTTCGGTATCCTTTCACCTCATATTTCTTTTCAATTTTTATTTCCCTTTTTCTTCTTATGATGCGATTCTTGCAATAAAACAACATCTATGAAAGGTGGACTCCATCTGGCTCATAAATGTGCCGAGCACGGTCCATTGTGAGAAGTTGAGTTGTCCAGGTTTTATAGATCAACCGCATTGCATAGCCCCAAGGTACCTTTTCCATAATCAAAATTCCTCAGCGAGAACAAATAGCCTGTCGGTCGTTATACAACCCGAGGTCGGAGATTCAGGGTCTAGGGAAGGATCTGGATCCTATCCAGGAAGCCATACATTGGGCCCCACAGATTAGGGGATCGCTTGGCTTCCGTTGCGCCAAACGGAACGCGTCCGTTGCGCGTGCGCTAAGGATTAAACTTGGGTGTAGAGATGCCTCAGAAGTAATGTTCCTGGATTGGGACCTGGAGACTGGGAGCGCGGCGGAGCCGCGTGTTCCCTAGTTCATAAATATAATTATATTCTACTGTGAATACAATTTACAAAGTATAAACTACATTTACAGTTTAACTTGGTTGAGATTCAACAAATTTAACTTGGTCAAGTACATCCCATTTAAACTGGGATACCCACAACCTAGCCAGTTCTGCTGGCAGTGAAACATTAAACCTGATAAGTACTGGAACCTATGCTCTGGGCTTGCACTACACATGATCAAGGATGTGATCAAGGAGAAATTTCTGGAAATTTCTAGTCCAATTTTAGACCACTTGGTCAGGATGACAATGTACCAAGTGGATCTCTACAGCTGCTACAAAGAAGCAAGTCCATTTGACTCTCTCTGGACCCCTGACTTAACACAAGTCCCTTGCTTCAGAGGGCCCTGGTACAGGGCTGGCGTGAAGCGCCCTCGCCTTAACACAAGTCCCTTGCTTCAGAGGGCCCTGGTACAGGGCTGGCGTGAAGCGCCCTCGCGCGAAGCGCAATCTCCGAAGGAGGGACTTGCAGGTGATATCTGTTTTTTGGCCTGGGAGCTTTTGCATTTTTGGTGGGAGAAAAATTCCCCTCACTTGTCTGTTGCTTTCTCCCCACAAATTCTTGACGCCTGTGGTATCAAACTCAAGGCCTTAATATTCTCTTTTTTTTGGTGTCAATCACCTATTTTTCCTCCTTCACGCACTCCTCCCTTCCCCCTTTGAAGTTTTCCTTTTTTGTGTGTTCAACCAGAGTGATGTGTGTGAATTCCCAAAAATTCCGAGCAAACTCAATTGCAATACAGAATTCCATCTTCCATCAACCTCAGCTTCTGGGCTAGGGCAGCACCCTCCTACAAGTGTAGGTAGGGAGCAAGTGATACTACATTCAACATGAGATGCTCAGCTACAAACTGCCCTTCTCCTCGTTGTGTCATGATGAGTATGCATCTCATAATGCAAATTGATTTGAAATTTTTGTCCAAAAGCCACACATTTTTGGAAGCTCTCAAGAAGGAAAGCCACAATAACTCATAAGCCTCCCATTGGGAATGGGAGATGCTTCGCATCGGGGTGCTCTGCACCCCCAGTCCTGGGAGGCTTAGTTAAGTCAGCTGGACCCGGGGGCTGTTGCAGGAATGGTTCCCCCAGGAGGGCAACCAGGATCTATTTATTCCTCACTATGGATCTCTTGAAATCAACCCATCATTACTTCAGTAAACAAGATACACCAATCAGCTTCGTTCGATTCACCCTTGAAGGTGCCAAAGCACTCCTATGACTCAACTTCAACCCTCCCTCTACTTCTAGTCCCTCATCATTGGAATGAAATCTTTTCTGCAATTGTTCTACTTTGTTTAATAACTGTGGAGGTCGAGGAGTTTTACAGAGCTGAAAGTGAGGTGAAGCAGGTTCATAACGCAATGGTAGGTAATAATGTCTAATCTCTTGAGGTAACTAAGGAAAAGCAAATGTCAAAGTTACAGCTGAAGTATTGAGTGAATTGGTAGAGTTGTTATATCTGCCGGCCGGTAAGCACGAGTGGGGAATCGATTTTCTCCTTTCGTAGAGATTGTCGATATTCCGCTTGAAGCTTAGCATCTTCTAATGGACGATCGACCGACTTAGTTTTGATAAAGAAGAAGGTGCACAACAAGGACATGGCGGCCAACCCGGTCGAGACCAAGAAGACAGCCCGGAATGCACTGCGGTATGCACTGATTAGCTGGGTCCTCTTATCGTCTTGGTTGGCCAGCTTTTCAAGAGCTGCGAAAGGGGAATCCATCATCTGGGAAATCACGCTGGACTCAAAACCTTGCTTCTCAAGGAGATGCTTGGCGTTATTGTTTCTACAAAGATCCCAAAAAAAATCGATCCAGTTATGAGTAAGTAGCAAAGTGACCCGAGAGAAGCAGCGAATATGATCAAATGAACTTTGTATCCAAGCAGCTCACAAAATTGCTCCTGAGACCGACAAGCCAACCGTGGCGACTAAATGTGTCAAAACATCAATTCTGATTTAGAATCGTCAATCATGACAGGGATGAAAGAATAGTGAAATGACAACTAAAATGTAACCACGGGGTCGCAACTGACACAAGTACCTAAAAAATCCACGAGCAGCAGTCACTACCGAGGCATCGCGCCGCTCAACAGCACCTTGGATTGCAATCAGCGATGCTTGAAACGTCTGAAAAAAATGATGAGATCAAACTCAGACAGGGTTTTGCCGATGAATAAAAAAGGATGATCTAATTTACTCACGCATCCAATACCAATCCCTGATAATTGATCCACCAAACAAATAGTCAACATCTCATAGAGGAGGTTGAGATCGTTCCAAGAGAGCTCCTAGAGGATGAAGTTTATCTTACCTGTTAAGATGCTGTAAGAAAGCTGTCTTGCCAAGTTGGAGTTCTCATCAAGCGTTGAAATTAAACTGAGTCCTATTAATGATACGAAAGGATTCATGATGCTCTCAGGTCTTTTTTTGATCATTTGAAAAGGGCGATGATAGCGGGATGTAAAGAATCACCAGCTGTCCAGATTGCCCATCCAGACAGTATAGAGACCTGCAAACAAGCCACAATCAATGATTGTTCTTTTGATAGAAGAAAAAAAATTCTTTCTCTTACCCTGTAATTTCCTGTCCACGTAATGACGAGGCCGCTCAGAGTACTTGTGAACGCTATCAACTCCAAAATATATATCATGAGCATCATCCAAATGTGTATCACTGGGAATAGTCATCGTTCTCGGCTTACTTTGACTGACGGTGATTGGGATCAGCAGGCATGCGCTTTTGAGTGGTGAATAGCCGTAGATGAGTTGATAGAACTGAGGTAAATAGAAGGAAAGGCTTAAAGCAGCCCAGCCGTTGACGGCTTGAGTTACCAGGACGCCGCAAACGATAGACGATTTGAAGATCCGAACTAGCAGCAAGCAAACAAACAAAAAAATTCTCTCAGAAAAGCTTGACTCATAACCATACGTAGATCGGATTGATTGGGCTTACGTGGCATGACTGGAATCGAGGCAAATTTCCATTCCCATATCACAAATAGACTTGCAGCTAAAGCCGAAAAGCATAACGGAACGATCACCTGTCGAGATAGCCATGGGTATGCCACACCCGCCCAAGTAAAACTTAACTGTAGTAGACAAACAGAAGAGAAGAATTGAACGGGTCTTGGATTAACGAGTTTTACCCACATTGCTTTAAAACCTTTGAAAAAAAAAAAATCACTTGCGATGAATAAACATGAGCTGATTAGCGTGAGTGCTGAACCGATGAAATCGATCTGCCGTAACTTCCTAAAATGAAGCGTGAAAGTCAAAGTCAGATTCCTTTAGAAAAAAAATAAGTGGAAAGATCTACCTTTTCCAACTGCCAGAAACCTTTTTCAAAGGCATGAAGAATATAGCAGCAAGAGCACACAAGATAGCTAGTGGCAAATTGATCCGAAAGATCCACCGCCTTTTTGTTCAAAAATAATATGCAGCAACAAGCTTTCAGTAGATGATATTTCTTACCAAAATACCAATCAAGAATGCCAAGCTTTCTGCTCTTCTTCTTACCAGCGACTTCCGTGAGAAAACGAAGCCCCAAGCACTGGGCCGATTCCATTTGATAAAGCAGTCGCAGCACCCTGAAGAAGAAGAACAAAAAAGAGAAAATGAAGTGGTTATTAGGAAGGGGGATAGTAGGAGCTAGAGAATATGTCGAAGATGAATTAAGCTGACCAAGATTCCTTGATATTTCCCGCGTTCGCGTAGAGAAACCACATCGGACACGATCACTTGAGCAACCGTGACTAATCCGCCACCTCCGATTCCCGAAATAGCTCGGAAGATAACTTGTTCAGATCAGACCAGCAAGAAAGAAAACATGCGGGCCTCTTTAGTCTTGGAATCTTATGGAGGGAATCAGGATTGGGAGACTCACTTAATTGGTTGGCGGTTGTGGCTAACGAAGAAGCCAACGAACCGAGAAAGAAAACCACCAATAAGGCTAGTAGGACTACTTTCCTAGACCAGACATCCGAAAGATGACCTAACCAATCATAAAGAACGACATCCAAATGTGATTAGATCAACAATCAATCAAAGATAGAATAAAAAAAGTCCCGGAAATTATATAAAAAAATCGGAAAAGGGAAAAAAAGAACTCAACTATAAAGCAATTGACAAGAAGAAGAAGTCACATAATACGAACTAGCGATCCAACTGCTCGTCGAGCCGGCATTCAGATCCACCGCTACCGCCGATAAGGCGATCGCCAAGCTGGTGTAATCCAACAACGAACACACGTCCGTTAAACAACACGCCAGAAAAACCTACCATAAAAACATCCCTCCCCAAGAAATCAGTATCTTTTTTTTGGAGACTTGGACCATGAGAAGAGAAATAAGACGTACACTGATGATTTTCCTGGGAGGTAATCGGATCGACTAGGTCATCCAATGTCCATATACGTCCACATTAATAGACATAAAAATGGTGATTTTGAACCAAGGTCAGTTGTTATCGTTGTTGTTAATTGTGATTGGAGAGATAATCAGATGAAGAAGAACGTGTATGTACCTGATCGATCAACGGGTGATGACCCTTCTCGTCGGTAATAATCGTTGTCGTTGTGGTCTGTTCCTGTGAAGACGGCAGCTCATGACCATTCGAAGGATTCTCTTCCCATGAGCCATTCGAGTTCTGGAGACCAGACATCGAGAGAAAACCGGGTGTTTGTGAAGAGGCTGATAGACGACCAGGGGAGGGGAGGGGGTTACTTCAACAGTCTGTTCGGTGGCAGGAGAGACTGGCGAGGTTTGATTAATAATGACTGAGACAAGAAAAGGATAGGTGTGGTGGTGATCTGATCGCTTCAGACTCTTTGATCCCAACTATCAGCTTGTTCGTCCTCAGCCTGGCTTCTCATGGGAGTATGTACCTTTAGTACGAGAGGTGGGTGAGGATGGATGAAGAGAGGATGATCCAAAGAATTAACATCATGGGTTGTGGTGTGCTCATAACCCATCATGAAGAGAACAAACATGTCCCTTCCGCAAGTTCGGACTGCTTTCCGGCCCATCCACCTTCAATGGTGGCGTTCTACGAATTTACATAACTCTCTACACAGACGGAGTACAGTTTAAAAGGTTTCCTTCGGACGGATCAACTAGATGCAGGATCAGTACGATGGAGTGGATCAATTTGTCTTTATGCTTCAATATTCGTCCCATCGAATTGAACTCAAAAGATGGGTCCATTTAGCACAACCAGAGGAACCAAAAAAATGAAAATGATGATGAAGGACTCAAGGAGGAAGAGACCTAGCAGGAGGAGGACAACAGATGATAATACAATACGGAGACCAGCATTTGACCGGGTTACTTCGTTCGGGCGTGCACCTGGCTTCGTTCACTCATGCCCTCAAGACCTTACTCGAGATCTCCATCCGCTCGGTCACCAATGCCATCTCATCCCCCATAGATCCCGCCACAAAGGCATGTACGATCTGCGTCGACGATAATGGGATCGGAATCGACCAAGACCGAACCTCATAGCATAAGTGTCCTTTGTGGTCACACTGCATAGTGATCAGAGAAGGTTACTCTACATAGCCGAATGTTCCATATGAGTGCAGTTATAGGGCAGTTCACATTGGATCATGTTGCTGATGCTGATGCTACAAAATTTCTCATTCTTCTGAAACATCAGAAAAACCTCAATCTTGTTCTTGATCAAGAAATTCATGAGAATTTTGTCATCAGCATCAGCAAACTGGCGTTCAAGTTCCCAATGTGAACTGCCCTAGTACACATTAGAACCTGTCCTGACTCCTAACTCTGCTTGCAGTGGATGACTTCCTGTTGCAATCTATGACCCTCCCAGAAGTCAATTTACACCCCTTAGATCTATTTTTTTTCCATCAAAAAACAACATTTTCTCTGAAGCCTTCCAGAAACAGCTCTCATGTGAGCTGGTTGAAATCTCAACCTTGTTGTTGATTTAGGACTGAGGGAGGTCTAAAAAGCATTCTAAATCACAATGGGAAGTCCTCCACTTGTGCCACATGTGCAAAAGGGTATGCCAAAAGGTGCCAAAGAAAGATTGTGCCTTTGGTGGGGGGCACCAATGCCTGTATGTATTCATGAAAGATAAAACTCCTCACCTCTCCAACCCATCCACATCACACCAACACCACAATCACACACCATCCAATCACCCATCTACCTCCATCACTGACCATCCACCTCTGACCAATCCTCCATTGCTGAATCATCCACCTCCGACTGATCCTCCTTCACCAAAAAGATGGGATCTCAGCAATCCGTCATCATTTATAAAAAGCTTGATCCTCCGGTCTCCAAACCCCAGCTTGCTTATACAGTGGTGGCAATGAATAACTTTCCCTATTCATTTCTTCTTCTTCTTCACAGTTCCGTTTTAGCGACCATCTTTCACAGTAAAACCATGTCTCAAGTCCAAACTACTCAACTGGCTACTCAGCCAACCCAACCAACAACGCAAGGCGTTCAAGCTGCTACCAACATGGTCCAGACTCAACCAAGTGGCCCCTGCATTGGATGCCAACGGGGTTCACAGGGTTATAGCGGGGAAGATTGTATGTGTCAACCTCAGAGACATGTTGACATGTCCTAAAGGTTTCACAAAACAATTAAAACAAATAAAAATTAATGAAGATTTCACACCAAAAAATCAATCCTAATTTATAAACATTAAAAATTAAATAAACTATATAAAAATCAAGCAAATAATTGGGTTCAATTTTAATAACCCTTCCATGTCCCTTGAAGTTGACTGGATAAAAAATCATCACAATCATTATATTTGATTGATCCTATCCCTACCTTTAGGGATAGAAGCCTAGGTGTTTCTCTACTGGCTATAAATATTCTCCTAGAATGTAAAAACTTCAAATAAACAAATAACTAAAAATAAAAATCATCCTCTCTCCTCCTTTTCCTTTTATCTTGTTGTATCTAGTCTTTTTCTCTGTTATAAATATATCTCATATTTCTAAAGACCTTGTCCAGCTTGATCTCTACGCGAGATCCACCGCTGACAGTATGGCTATTGTCAACTGCGTCAAGAGAGTCCTGCCGTTAGGGAGCAACGACTGGAACCACATCCACAAGTTGTACGTGCATTATGCTGCTCAAAACAACGGCATCCCATGTGATCCAGATCCCATCAAAACAAAGTTAAAGACAATGGTTGCTTTGAGAAATCCCACTGGCAATCCTGATTGCCCAGTTTGGATTTGTGAGGCTAAAAGTGCAAACCTCATGATCAAGGATCACACCAAAAGTTTGGCCTTCATTGATGATGATGATGAGGAGTTGGATAGCACCAATGAGAGATATGCTCTCATTTTTTCATTTACACTCAGATTGATTGACACAATCCACTCTGTCCTGGTTCAGAAATGTCCTAGGGAACCCAGTGCCCCTCTCACCTGTTGACCCTGGGTCACAGTTGCAGTTGACCCTCATATCCAGGTGGAGTGCTACTCAGAGCCAACTCCCCAATAATCCAATTGACTTGGACAAAAACTCTAAGGACAAGTTGCTCCGCAATTACAACAACATCTCACAATCCTTGGGAAATGCTTCAATGGCTGCAACCCAAGGTCTAACATCAGCCACAACACCGGGCCATCCTCTCAAAGCCGGTAAAGTCGATTGTCAGGTGTCAACTTTCATCCAGCAATCTCAGAACTTGAATTCACATACTACGACCACCGGGGCTCTAGGTCAAACACCACCTTTGCCCCCAGGAGCTACTGGAGGTTGTCGAGCAAGGGTGGCTCAGCCTCAAGTGGGTCTCTGTTGGAATTCAGCTGTTGTTGTTCCCTTTCCATCTTCTCTCTGTCATGCTAGTACTTGTCACTCCTTTTTAATCTGTCACTCTTTTTCTCCTCATTTCCAGATCAATATGCATCTTCCTCTTCTGTCCCACAACTCAGCCATAACGTGTATGTAGTTAAATATTCATGCTTCCTGAGTTAGAAAATGAAAGCATCAGTTCTTCTGCACCTTTTCCCTGCATACAACTCCTTGCAGTGTGTCTGCTTTTCCTCCACGCAAGCCAGAAGCCTTAGCCCCCTTTTAGGGGTTCAAGACCATTGTTTTTTTCCTCAGAGCTTTTTCTCAAGGCCTTTTCATCAACCAGTCTTCTCTCCATTCTTTGGATCAAAATCCTGAGTTTCATCAGTCTCCACAGTACATTGGACAGCTTTTTTGACCCAGAGGCCCGTGCGTCTTGAGATCAGGAGACAAGCATGTCTCAGTTCTACGCAGTCTGCCTCCAACAGGTCAATGCGACAATTGGTTGCTTGCAAGATGAAGTTAGTCGGCTATGCGAGGGGGTCAATGCCATGTGCTTTGGTTACAGGACAAGGTTCAACAAGCTCAAAACAAACTCACACAGAAGGCTTTGGAGAACTAAGAGTTGCACCATAGACTTGAGATGATGCAACTCCAAATGGAGTTGCATCCATCTCAACCTTTCATGCAACCTCAGCATTTCGATGGAATGCAAGGAGGTATGTTTGCTTGATCCCATTCCAGAGTGCATGTGGGCCCTTCTTTGTGGGATGTCAATCTTATGGGGTCTAATATTCATATTCAGTGATCCTTGGCCTCACCATTTTTTTTCTCTCACTATATTTTTTCAACCTTTTCTATTTATGAGCTTCAATTTTGATGTTCTAGCGGGGGCCGTTTGTGCACGAGGTGCGATTATGATAGTGCGTGGCACAGAGTAGGGAGAGTCTGACTGTTGAAGTCAGTGACTGTGGAGATGAGATAGGCAGAAGTATGTATTTTCCGTGAAGCATGAAGAAGAAGAAGAGAGACAAACAGTCGATAGGCAGCAGTCTTTATAAGTACAAATATTTGGCTATTCCTTTGTAGACATATAGATAAAGGAAAAGAGAACACACATAGCATTTGAGTATATGAGGAAACAGAGGGAAGAAAGAGAAACAGTAACAACAGCAACAATCAGTTCAGTTCTGGATGAGTCTTGTTTGTGTGTTGAGTCTGAGAAGCTGAGGCTGATTTCGGTCTGATTGAAAGTGAATGTTGAGTCAGTAAGGGCAGTGTTGTGGTGAGGAAGTGCATCGATGTGGAAATAGAGAAGGTTTGGAGTGTGTGGATAGTTCTGAGTATGAGAAAGCACTGAGGAAGTACCTGACTTCTGGACGGTGGTTGTAACAGATGTTTTCTTTTATCTTATCACTCTGTTCACTTGTTTTTTCTGTGTTTACTCCTTTTTGATGTTACTGTTATGGATTGTTTAATGAGGACTTCCTGTGAGATGGAGTTTTTTTTTTGCTTTTGTATACTAAAGAATTCCCATCTAATTCCAACATGATGTCACTTGGCCTTGCTGACAGGTGTCATCATGAAGCTCAAACCCAGCCCCTGTCCAAGCTCAGGGTGAGCACCAGGTCAATCTCCACTGCACTGTGACCGTGCAAAAATGTACTGGCTCAACAAATGTGTAAGCTTTATCTGGAGAGTCTTTGATGTCACTGGTAAAACCTCGAAGCCCCGGGGCTCAATCTTTGGGACGACCCCGCCCACCCCGTCCCGAACCCGGGGATAATGGGTTAAATCAATAAGCTCCTGACAACAACCAGCTCTGATTTCTTCAATTGTGTAAGTGGCCGGCAAATTCCATTGATTCTCAAATTCCATCCCATGATCAAATTGAGCTAACGCATCTCATTGCTGCTTAGAATATAAACAGAAAAACATGCAAGGTGATGAAGGAGGAGAAGAAAGAGACCGTAGGAGGCCAGATGATACATTTGGACGAGCATTCGATCGCGCTGCTTCGTTCGGGCGTCTACCTGGCTTCGTTCACTCATGCCCTCAAGAGCTTACTCGAGATCTCCATCAGATCGGGCGCCAACACCATCTCATCATCCATTGATCCCGCCACTGGGACGATCTGCGTCGACGATAACGGAGTCGGAATCGATACCGGGTTGGTTAACTTGCTGGGCAGATTTGATTCAAGTCAGTATATTTACGCGTCTCCTCCTCCTTCATCTTGTTTTCTTACCAAATATAATCTGAGGAAGAATGAAAATTAACTAATTCTCAATGTGTTTGCTTTCCTCGTCCTGATACCTATCTAGATTCATTAGTCTCAGCTCCAAGCCCCAACCAGTCGTCGTCCTCTCAAAAGCAAATCGTCTCATATCTTTCCGTCTCCCAACATCGGATCCTAGATTCCTTAGCGCATCTCTCCTTACTCGACATCTGTTCACGCCACAAAGATGGGAGTTATAGCCATCAAACCTTGTTCAGAGTTCAGTAGCCCAACATCAATCAATCCTCACCACACACACGTTTCCGATATGCGCCCAGCACACAGGATTCGTATACAGCCCTACTGATCGAGTTTTCCATCGCCATACATTATTGTCCGTTACACTCTTCTCTCATCACAGGACGGCAACGTCATCTTCTCTGCCCCCGCCAAAACCTCTCGCCGTCACAGTCATGGAACAACGACCACAGTCCGGGACCTCTTCCACAACGTACGTCCTCTCAACATCATCCTCACATCCTCCCTTTTCTCGTATTGCCCGTCAAGTTCTTCTTTTTTTAATGCTTATCGTCTTTTGTCTAAAGCTTCCGGTCCGTCAGATCCGCGAAAACGATCCCCTCCGACACCAACAACGTTTGAGACGACAATGGGAGGAATCGCGGCTGATCCTCCAATCCTTGGCCATCGTCTATCCTCACATCTCTTTCACCCTTCGCAACTCTTCCCATCAAAACTTGACTTCCTCCTCCTCCAACTCTTCAGCCTCATTTTATCGTATCTCTAAGGTACACATTTTCTACTCTACTACCCTTTCCCCTTTAATGTGTTATTTGTTCATAATCCCTTTTCTAACTCTTCCTCATTCACTTATCGTAGACCGGACTATTTTCAAGTACCTTTGGCAAAATCTTCGGCCAACAGTTCGTTCAGGTAAGTATCTGTCTGATAAAAAAATGAGATTCCTTTTTTTCAAATAATAGATTATGATTCTCATCACGTGATTGATTTGGTCTTACACAGGATTCGATTCCTTTGAAGGTGTCAATCGATGGGTTTCAAGTTACTGGACTTTTCAGTAAGAAGCGACATTCTAGTCGGGCGATCCAATTAATTTGTTAGTGGAACTTTCGACACGTTTTTTTACTACACCTACTTGCTGATTCTTGCCATATGGATACTAGACTTGGACCGAGTGTTGATTCCTTCGAATAGCTTGGTGCACAGGAGTCTTGCTAACCTCTTTACCGGATTGCAATCGGAAGATGTGGGTCAACCATTTGTGTCACTTTGGGGTTCCCATTTTACAGATTCTCTGACTCACGAGCAACCAGGTTGTTTTCCTTTTGGAGCAGATCTCTGGATCTTCAGCCCCACAGACCTCACTATCGCCTAAAGTAAGCCCCTTGAAAAATGGGGCCTCTTCCGTGGACCGACACCCGGTCTACTTGCTTATTTTCACTTCACTTCCCAAATCCAACACATCCGATGATCATAATCATGCTGTGCATTTTCTCGATGAGAAAGAACAGGATCTGATTCCTCAGACCGAAGAGAAAATCAACCGAATCGCTTCCCAGGTTTTCTCTCAAGTTTTCCTTCCGCCCAAAGAGCTTCCATCATCCTCAAATGGTCAAAAAAAGCTTCAACAAGAGAGCTTGGTCAAGCGGACTCTTCAGTCCCGATGGCCCGTCACTAAGCGGCCTCGTCTAACTGACCCTAGTCCACCCATCAGCATGAATGGTCCTCAATCGATTTCCCTCACCGATCGGTTCTCTGCCCCTTCTAAAAAACACATCGATCGCTCGGCAGCTAAAAGTGTTCATCACAAATCTTGTGTCCCCAAATCAAAACCGCACTTAGACCTTCACAAGACGAAGCCGAAACATCTCACAAAAAGCTTGGCCCATCCGCCTGATCCCAAACCCCCTAATGCACCCTCAGGAAAGAGCCCTAGTCTTCACAAGATGATTCCCAACTTGAAATCAATGTTTGAATATAAACCTCCAAGCCTTTCGACACATTGGTCAAGTACGAAAGCCGATCAGAAAGCATACGGTAGTAGTCAGACGATGAGTTTTGAACCACAAGACGGGAAGAAACGAAACCAAAAACACAAGTTTGAGGGAGTCGTGAGGATAGATCACAACGAGGATGGTGACTTCCGGATCGATCTGTCTCGGCTCGCAGATCCTTCATCCTTCACGATCATCGGCCAACTCGATCTGAAATTCCTCATCGTCAAGTTGGATGGTCGTTGTTCTCTGGATCGTGGTGATCATCATCGGGAAGATGGAGTGATGGTCGCCTTCGATCAACATGCTGTCCATGAACGCATCCGTGTCGAACGCTTCCTTCATGATCTCTGTACTGGTCAGTTTAACGTCAAGGACCTCGAAACTAAAATCGATCATCATCATCAACAAGAAGATCAAGGAGATCAGGCGCAGGGAGGCCTACATTCGGGTTCAAAGTTCGTGCCCATCTTGGTCACTCGACACGAATTTGATGGCCTTGTGAAGTTCAAGAAATTGTTCAATCGATGGGGATTTATATACGAATTAACCCTAACCGAATCAGATCTGACCCATGGTCATAACCATAATGAAGAAGATGACGAAGATGATGATGTCGGGTTTAAGCAAATCTTCATGCGAGCTGTACCTGAGATAATATGGCACCGCTTTCAATGCAATGATGGACGATTTGAGGTGTTGAAGAACGTCTTGAAAGGCTGTTTGGGGTTCTTTGAAGATCGCTCTTCCCCAAGTCATCCGAACTCGGATTGGTTTGGGGCCGTTAAAGATTGTCCTTCTGTCTTGGTTCAGTTGCTTAACTCTAAAGCTTGTCGAGGTTTGTTCACATTTCGTTTACGTTTTTTTTTTTTTGAAAAACATTTTCTCACCTGTTCCTTGATTTTGATTATCCAAACAGTCAGGATGAAACAAATGGACATATAATGATTGACTTGCCGTGATTTATTTTGTGGATGTGGAATGATTTCTGTTGAAACAGGTTCGATTATGTTTGGAGATAAACTAACCAACCAAGAGAGCCGGAAACTACTGACAGAGTTAGGACGAACGAGGCTGCCGTTCTCATGTGCACATGGCCGACCGACATGTTATCCGCTCTTCAAATTCGGAGAACACCCTCCAACCTCGCCAGTCATCATTGACGGCTCCAGCAGTCATTGCGACCAACAGGGTCATCATCCGCTGGCCTTCATGGATCGGTCGGCCATCAAAGGAAACCCTCCTCCTTCTCCTCCTCTACCTCGTTCTTCTTCTGCTCGTACTCGTTCCCTCCTCTCTTCGCCTTTCATGTCTGCTCGAAATTCTTTCAACCGTCGTAAAATTAATTGGGAATCTTTATCTTCTGGTTGATCATCCATCCACCTCACCCTATTCCAAGGACCATCTACATCGAACCCATTATCTCCTTTTTTTTTATCGCAAAAACTATCGGCCCACCTTGTAATTCTTGTCTTCGACCAAATCAAATGTAATACTGTATCTTTTTCCAATGGTTGATAGTTAGAGACGTACTCTGGGAAAAAAGGATACGCACGATTGTGCCTATTCTGTGGTCAATATGGGGGTCGAACCCATGACATCCGCATGTCAACTTCGAGAGTTATTAGTACGGCGCTCTAACCAACTGAGCTAATCGACCGGCCATGACGTAACCGACCGGATTACGGATTTTGATCCGTGGGTAGGCTGGCTGATAGCATGTGGTAATGAAAATCTGTAAGTATTCCTTAGACAATCTCCACCGGGCACATTGTGCAAGTTTCAAAATATTGAAAGAGGTAATGCTATACTACCCAAGAGGGCAAACACTACTTTTACCTCCCCTGACTCTGAGGCAGGTGTATTTTGGGTTTGGGGAGGTAAATTTGGTTTACTTGTACAGTTTACAAGCCTGTGTGGAGATGGACTTGAAAGAATCTTTGCAGTTGAATTTTCATGAGTTCATGTGAGTTTCATAATCATGTCATCATTTTGTGCTCCCCTGTAATTTGAAAATGACAAGTGACAACTTACTAGAAAGTTCATAAATTGATAACTGGCTTGACAGGCCCATTTCAAAAGGTACAATGGCCAAATATATTTTATTTCTCAGCCAGTTGATTGAAATGATTGTATGTTGAATTTTGGGATTTTTTGTTTACAATGCTTCCGCACAAATAAGCCTTCACAAGCAAGTGAGAGTGAGATATCTTTGTCATGTATGATTATGAGAAAGGCATATGTGTCATTCTCATATGTTCTATAAACCAAGCAGTTACCGCCATGAAAATTGGAATCTCTCTTGCTATCAAGTGACATCAAGGAGCCTTTAGGGGAACCTTCACTTGGGCTTTGGTGAGTGAACCTTGCCATTGCAAGTGTCCAAACCACACAACTGCCCCTTTGTCTACTAGTGCAATATGCATGTGTGTTAGTTAAGCTTCAAGTGTTGTATGAACCAGGTTACACACATAGTCTCTTGATGACACTTGTCAGCAAGAGACACAAATTTCTTTGTGGTGTACTCTCATGATATTTTGATTGATTTTTCCTTTTTTTTTTCCTTGGATATGTATTTAAACACTCACTTCAAGACAAAGATATGAGGACAATCAAGAATCTGTTTTCATATTCTATCCCTCACCCTAACTGCTCAATCTACCCCCAAAGAAATCAAGTACAATTTTAGTCTTCATTCTTTTGAATGAAGTTTCACAGCATGCAGAGATTGTTGAAAAGCTGGACTTGTTTCTTGAGTCTGATTTTGAGCTTGAGGATAAGATCAATTAGGGATGATAATCGGGCGGGTTTGGGCCGCCCACAGGCTAGCCCGGCTCTACCCGCAACTTAATTGGGCAGGCCGGGCCGGGTAAAAACATGAGATTTTGATGTCCGACCCAAGTCCGTGTCCGCAATGTGGCGGACACGGGCTGTCCAGCGGCGCCCCGCTGGGGCTACTGGCCGGTGGGCTATGCGGGTGACCCATGGGCAGCCCACCAGGAGCCCACGGGCTGGGTTGTTTGAGGCACAAAAAAGAAGTTTTTCACGTTTACTACAGTCTACAAAAGCTTGAGGGAGAAGCAGAGACAAAAAAAACAAGAGAACAAAGCTACATAGAGGATGAACAGACTACATCTCCTTCATCCAATCCTGAGAGCACAAGAGTGCCTCAGCGGTATCTTTGTTCAGTTGGCTTTGGTAGTCGTCCAAGACATGACCACCAGTGGAAAAGGCTGATTCTGATGCCAAGTCACAGCTCATAGCAGTATCCTGCCAGAACATTCAAGCCTGCGGGCACCCGCTAGACCAGCCCATGCTGACCCGCGCCGTTTAGTGACTTTAACAGGCCAGGCCAAAGTCCAAATATTTCACAAAAGCACTGTCCGCGCCCGACCCAAGCCCGGCCAGGTTTGGGCGGCCTATTGGACACCCGGCCCAAATATCAACCTTAAGATCAATATGTGTGCTTTGCATATCTGAGTATATGTCCAATTATAATGTTCCTCATGGATGCATGATGGAGGTTGTAGGGCTCCTGTTTTGTCACCTGGGCACTGGAAGGCCAAGACCTGCTCTTTCAAAGGGTATTGGAATCCATGGAAATGTGTCATCAAGTCCCTTTGTAGGCCTTATCTTATGTCAACAAGTAGGTACTTTTTGCTAGGTAGGGCAACTCCTTTCAAAAAGGCATCCATGTAGACTCAAGTATTATATGCACTTTGCTTCCATCAAGAAAGCAAAAAGATGAATTTTAATCAAAACTTGATGGCTGCAAGGACATTCTGAGTAACATCTCCAGGATGGTGATTCATTTTCTGGGACTCAGTCATTGATCAGTACCCCATCCACTGTACCAACCAGAAAATTTCTGAATTCTGCAGGTTGAAATAATGTGTGAACAACCTGTAACACTTGGATTGCTACTGCGGAATGCCAAACAAGCTACCTCAAACTCAACTCATCCTTTCTCAAAACCTAACCTCATCCAGTCTACCAGGCCTATTTCACCTCTTCAAGATTGGCAGATTCTCTTCTTCTTGATCAGTTGACTTGCCATTCTTTCTGTTGAACTTTTAGGCCAAAGCGCGTAAGAGGTGAAGGGCCAAACAGGGAAGAACTCCTTTTTGGGAAAGGCTCACGGAAAATGAGTGTAAGAACCAGTGATTTTATTCACTTGCAGCCAGCCAGGATTAAATAGACTAGATACAAGTGGTTGGAAGAAAATGAATAAAAACTGAGAGAAGATAAAATGAGTTCTTGAAAATAATGTCAAACCCAACAAAACCTCTCATTCTATTTTAGTCAAGCTAGACGGTTTAGTCAAGAGAAAACATCTTAAATCACAAATACTACGAGGCGTTAATTCACAGTAATCAGTTTCTAATAAATCAAGCAAAAAGATCAGGAAAAAGAAGAAATCATTGTAGAGACATGAGTTGTTGAGAAAAGCTAATAACTTAGGGTTCATATTTGACTCAGAAGTGGCTTAATAACAACAGAAAACAAGCTACTTGATAATTATAGACTGGTCTGATTTTTGATGACTTAGAAAGGTATAAAGGTCAGAGAGAGACAGAGCTGAGAAACATTCAACACTTTCTCATCCACCAACATAATCTTCTCAGTAATTCTTCCTAACCACAAAGCTCTCTCCTCTAGTATCCTGTCTTCTATCTTCTGTTATCTTCATCATTATTTTTTTTCTTCTTGTTCTTTTCTCAGCAGCTCTTCTCAATCTGGTGAGAAAATATCTTCCTCTTGTAATCTTTGTTTCTCTTCACCAATGGTGGGCCAGCTACACTAACTGTAGCATTGTTGTAACATAGTGTAGCAAAAATAAGCTAACATTTAGCATAGTGTTAGCGCAAATCTGAAAATTTCCATCAACACTACGCACGCAGGGCGCCAAAGTGTTTTAGCTTCATTTTACTCATCCACACTAAAAACAAACACTACACAAAAAAAAGGCTGCTGCCACGGCAGCAACGCTAATGCTAAATGACCCTTTAACGTAGCGGCCCAGTGTTGTCTTCACTGATCACTGCTTGCATAACATAATTATCTAGCTCTGCATCTAAATTTTTGTCCAAATTCTTTAATCCAGTTGTCTGTCTTACATTTAAATTTAATCATAAATCATTGAGTGTGGCTTTTTCCTGCTTTCCTTTCTAGTAACCTTTTTTTCCTTTTTTATTTTATTTTGCCTAATCTTCTAGTATTGCTTCAGTTATGGTCTTGTTTTTCTTAGAAATTAAACCAATATTTTATCACTGCATATTTTGGATCTTCCTTCAGGCTGGATGGTTGGCTGCAGGTTTGTGGTTTTGGTAAGCTTCATGTATTTGGGGTACAGGATTACCAGAGCCTCCAGGACTTTGGTCACATAACTAGATGGATGGTGTGCATCATTAACCATATTTCCATGCCAAATCAAAATCAAAATGCAAACTAACTGGTTGACAGGGTGGCTTTGACCACTTCCTGGGCACACAGGGATTTTCTGCATATTCTCACATTCAGGCTTTCTGCATGTGTAGAAATTTGAGTTGGAGAGGGGGAAAAGTTCAGCAAAGCTGAAAGCAGACAGTGTCTGAAGAGGCTATTTGACTCCAGTTGAGCGGGCTAAAGTGCACTCAAGCTGGACTGAGACGAGGCTTAAGTGTCTACTCAGGATTGGAAAATAAATAGCTAAGAACCAATGGTTTCTTTCATTATCAAGCTGTAGTCTAGAGGGATTAAATATTCTAGATACAAGTAGTTCAAGTTGTGGTTTGGTGAACTAAGCACAATGAATAAGGACAACAAAAGGAGCTCGGCAAAACAAAAATGAGTGACTAAAGAAAAAAAAGGAAATCAAGGATGAGTGAAATTCCAACACATAGGTTCACATTCAGACTGTGAAATTATCTCATTGATTATTAGGAAGGAAAAAAAAAACAGACCTCACTGTTGTTTTGTATACATAACTGATACAGACAACTGAGATGAGAGAAATGTGACAATGAATAGAAAATAAAGCAGACTAAGGCAACAAGATTTTAAACAAGTTGAATGTTAATGAAATGGAAAAAGTATTCAATTGATTTCTCACTGACTTGAGAAAGATAGCCTGTGAATCGTAGCCAAGAGAGAGGGTTGAGGTTGAGTTGAGGATTTTGAGTGGCGAGAATTGTGATTGATGATTGATGGAAGTCAGAGAGTGAAGAATTGGTGGCAAAAAGGCCTATAAAGAATAAAAACTTTTTGAGAGTTCTTGCTGAAAGGGCTGATGTTCTCTCAGACAAGACTGAAGGAGGGCTTAAATGCTCCTTCAGGAACAATTTAAAAAAAAAAAAAAAAAGAACCAATGATTTTTATTCCCCTAACAATCTAGAGGTCTTTAAGTAATCTAGATACAAAATGATCAAGTTGTGGGAGCAGTAAAAAATTCATTATGAATAGGAATAAGAATAATGTTCATTACTAATTAGTAGGAAAGGAATGACATTCTCGTGAAATGAGAGAAGAGAGAGAGAGAACGATTGAAATTCCAACAGAGAGGTTGTTGGGATTTTGTCTCTTCTCTCCTCATCCCCAAAAAACTCATCTAACCCACCGTTAAATCAAAGATGATTTGATAAACAATATACATGATTTTTACCTTGTTAGTTGTTGTTCTTTGTGTGGTATCTTGTCATGTTGTCTGGTGCTGAAATCCTTGTAGTCTTTGAACCCTGGTCTAGTCTTTCTCAACTCTCATGTGCTCCGATTATCCTTTCAAGCATCTGTTCAATCTTTGTTATATTTCATTATGATATTCAATTTTTCTCAACCACAGATTGAACTTGGTGTATGTAGTCTATTTGATGCATAGACCCTACTAGCAAATAAAAAATCATTCACTCTCTCTCTCTCTTTCTCTCTTTTTCCAACCCTCTCAAGCCACTCCCACAAAAACTTGTTCTTTGTTGCCCAAAAATTCTCCTTGTGACGTCTATGGCCAGGATTTCTTCAGAGGTATTAAGTGAAAAGAGAGAGGAGCAAGACAGTAGAGGGCAATATGTTTTTTTTAAAGTGAGTAGATATACCCAATAGGATATCTGGCCATTATAATCAGGGTGGATTGCTTGCAAAGTGTTTACAGGATGTTTGTTACCAGGGAAGAAGGAGATCCAAAATGTTGAAGCAACACAAAAATAGGAATAGAAGCCATATACAATCGTCAATGGACAAATCCTGAGGACAAAGAAACAAGAATGTAACACGAGGTGGGTACCGGGCAATGTGGGTGAGGTCGTGCCATTTGGCTGGAGTTTATAGGGCAACAAGACATGCCACTTTTTAGACACACACAAGTCCCTCCTTTTTGGAACTTGTGTCAAGTTTGAGAAATAACAACGAGGAAGTAAAAACACTGCAGTGCACAGCAGATTTTTTTTGGTGTGCACAACCATGTACTCCAAAAAATGATCAAGTTTTTTGCCCCTTTTGCTGTGTGCAAGGGAAACCTTTAGGTGTGCAAAAAGGCAGACCACACAGTTATTATATCTCTTCACATATATACACATATTTTATAAAACACTGGACGACTTCCCGTCACATCTGCGGGTCTCCCAGAAGTGATTTAGAGGCATCGAAAGCTAGATTTCCCAGCGAAATTCTAGACTTTTCGGGTCTAAATCGACATCTGCGAGGGTCCCAGATCCGACGGGAAGTCCTCCAGATAAAAGATGTGTTTCATGTCTGCTTTCCTTTTCTTTGGGCCCCCCCCCTTTCTCTACTTCTTCCCCCCCCCCCCCCACCCCCCCAAAAAAAAGTAAAAGAGCTCCAAAAAATGATGATTATAAACACACACACACACACGAATTGTAAAAAAAGAACGAACGCAACAAGAAGAAGAAAATCCATTGGAAAAAAGAAAGCGAGAGAGAGAGAGAGAGATGAAGGAAAACGAGAAGCTACAACGTCTGAGAAGAGACGAGAAAGAGAGAATCATGAACGGGGAGCTACAAAAACAAAAAAGAGACAGGTTTTTAAGGTACGAGCGAGAGAGAGCGAGAAGGATTAGATGTTTAACGAGTGATGATAGAGATCCGAAGAGCGAGCGCCATCGAGCGAGCCGACTTCTGTCGTAAGTTCCTCCTCCTCCTCCTCCTCCTCCTCCTGGCCATCCTTCTGATGATCGATGGTAGTACCGACCGGAGAGGCCGCCGAAGAAGAAGAAGATTGTTGAGGTCTCGGAGGCGGGGGCGGATGGAGGAGGGTAGTAGTGGGCTGAGATTTGTGGAGGGAGATGAGATTGATAGGCGAGCCATTAGAGCGGATGAAGATGGGCGAATGGAGGGCCGAGGAAGCGGACGGATTGGGGCGCTCGGTATGGAGCAGAGATCCCGATGAGTGTTGTCGATCAGTCGAAGCAGAGTCAGTAGATCCTGAAGAAGAAGAAGAAGAAGAGCGGAGGTAACGACGACTGAGGAAGTCGGCGGAGAGTCCGACGAGCCAACGTTGACAGGAGTAGAGATGGACGAGCGGGGAGGGTGCGAGACAGTCGACGAGCTCCTTGATGCCCCAGATGTCCTGATGGGAGACGATCCGGGCCTGCTCATTGAACTGGAGCCGGGTGGACAATTTGAGGTCGAATCGGGCCAGTCGGCCCGCCACCGTCCGGGGCGAAACCGACGAGAGCAGCCATTGTAACGGCCACATCGTCTCGCCGCCGGTTTGGATCACCCGAAGTCGCTCCAATAGGCTCTTGTTGGTGGCTCCCCCGTGGCTGCCCCTGCTCAGTCCCCCCCTCATCGTCGCCTGCACACAGTTACTCCCATACTTCCCCTGCGTGCTCGGCGTGCCCACGTGCGGCGTCGCTGGAACGGACAGATACGGCGTCTGGATCCCCCCGCCATATCCTCCTCCTCCTCCGTCCGGCTCGTCTTCACTACTTCCTAAGAGATCGAAATGAAGCGTATGCGAAAAGACTACGACCCGATTTCCATCTACAAAGTAAAAAGGGAACGGATCAATATATATATATATATACTTAAAAGTAAATATTTTTTTGACAAGAGAAAAAAAAAGGGGGCCACACGCACCATAATCGACAGACTGACAGATATCGTCCAACTCGGACCAGATGGATCCAGGAATGAGGGACATGAGAGAGAACTGATTGACGATAGCAAGGACGCCGGAGGCCCTTGTGAACGGGTTCTCGAACACCGCGTTGAGCTCGTACCACTTGGAGAGACAGTCGACCACCTGTGTTTCTTGGGGCCGAGCGCGATGGCGTTGGAGCTGGTACAAGGATTCGTAGATCTCGACGATCGCTTGTTGGTATCTGTTCTCGCTCCAAAAGCCCTCTCCCCCCATCTTGTAGTCTTCTTCTTCTTCTGGTTGCTGGTGGTGGTGACGATCGTTTCCTGGTTCTGGAGAGGTCGTCGTCGGGTTCTGTTCCTGTGTCTTGTCTGCTCGTGCGGTCTTCATGATATGATTCAGCGATGATGTAGACGGAGTTCGAGCCATTTTATTTTATTGTTTTTGTGGATGGTAGTCTGAGTGAAGTCCAAGCAAAAGTGAGCTCAGAGGGTATGAAGTCTTGTTTATTATACACTGGATTGCAAAATGGTGCTTGGTGGACATCAGTTTTGTAGTGGGTGGTGGTGGTGGGCCAGTTGGCAACTCCCCTCCCCCTTTACCTAACCCACTCGAACATCTTCCCTGGTGATGGTGACGGTGATGATGGTGGTGGTTGACTGGAGATGATGTCACTGGCGAACTTATGTAGCTAAGTCCCCCTCCCTCCGCAGGATAACACAACATGTTTGGTTGGCGGGAGGGTTACTAAAAATCATCGCTTTTTCAAACTTCACACAACAGCACTTTGATATTCAGACCAATCATCATTTCAGACATGGCCAAAATGCGCAAGAAGCAAGCCCTCTCTATCAATATCTTTATGTATTTTTCCCTTGCCTCATTTGATCCTTTAAAAACAGTGAAAACAAACAAACAAACAAAAAATGAAAATTTATCTCGAAGCTGCTTTTCCACCTTCAAAGGCAGCTAGTTTTCAATAGTCCCACAGCTGCCTCAGCTACCCATTCAAACCATGCGAGATCAGAAAGTGCAAAAAAAAAAAAAAAAACACTTACACCGCGGGTGCAATTGGGGATTTCGGATCCAGCCATGGGATGGCATCGTCCCAAGGCTGTCCCAGGTCCTCAAAAGACAACAAAATAGCCTTGTTGTGAGGCTGTTGTGATGGTGGATCTCTGTTTTAAATGGATGTGGAACACACCCGGGACGTATTTTTGTGTGATGTCCCCAGGACACCCAAGTGCACCTGTGGTGTAACAGAGTGAGGTCAGACTTACCCTACAAGATGACACATGTGTCAATTTTTTTTTTTTCATCTACCTGGAGAGGATGTATTTACTTGAGTTTCTTGTCTTTTTCAGAACAGCAAAATCTACATCTTGATCACCAGGTTTATCAAGGAAGGGATGGGATGATGAATTCCAAATTCTGAATATAGATTCAAGTTGGGATGATACGCCTTTGCCAAGGCTTACACCAAAACTCATTTTCCTGCCGTGTGGAAAATCATGGATTAGGTGCAAGTCCCTCTTTCAGGAGGTGGTGGCCTTTGGCCGCAATCTTGGGGCCCACTGAAACTGGGGACTTGTGGCTGCTAAGTTTGTGTCACTGGGTAGGACAACTGAAATCACCCAAGTAACGATTTACATACAGCCGTTCCACTAGAGTGTTTGAAGTGCAGAATTCCACCCTTCAGAATGCCAATATGTACAGTGCCCTCCCAGATGTATATAGCCAATTTGTTTGGATTACACAACCCTAACCCACCAACTTGCAATCATGAGATTTGAGCAACTGGTATAAAAGAGGTTTCAGAAAATGATTCTGAAAACAAAAGTATGAAAAACCAATTTTCAAAAATTTTCAAAAAATATTACAATTATTAGTGGGTATCAAATATAGCAAATCCACCTTTGCAAACCCGTCAATTATTTTTTTGAAATCCACAATTATTAATTGACGGGTTTCCAAAATCCACCTCCATCAACCCCAACGGGTTTTGAACAAAAAAACACACATCTTTTCACCCAGGTCCCAAACCAGTCAATTAAAATATCCCATTTGTTTCAACTCATATCACCGCCAAATTTCACTTGCACCACCAAACTTCACCTCATCAGCACCAATCATCCCACCACCAAACTGATCATCTGACCACCAAACTTCACATCATCAGCACCAGTCATCCCACCACCAAACCATTCATCATCAACACCAAGATCGGCTCCACTCAAGTCCTCAAAAGCAATCATGCCCAAAGTATCTCGAAGAAAGAAAATAATCAAAGCAACCAATGTTGCTGCAATGGCCATGATGGATGATTCAGATTCAGATCACAACTCAGAACTTGAAGAATTTTACTTTTTCTCTATGAGTCAGCTTCAAAAACAATACCTAGTAGCTTGAAACTCCACGACACGATTTGATCCTCGATCCTAACCCTAACCCTAACCCCCCCTTTTTTTGCTGATCAAGATGGTAATGGTCCCAGTTACAGTCAACATTCTGAGTGAGCAATTGGACACTTCTCTGGTCCCCTTATAGTAAGCTAGTATACTGGTGGGATGGTTTCCAGGCATTTGAGACATGTCCTCCCATTGTCCCCAAGAAGATGGGGGGCAGGGGGCGGGGGGCGGGAACAGCCTCCAGGGTATGCCTTGTGACTGGTGCTGCCAACTGTTGAATTTTGGGCTCTGAACCGGTTGAAGTTAAAGACTTTTGAGAAAATGGCACAAAAAAGGTTGAAAGCCTTTTTTGGGAGAGGTTCACGGAAATTGAGTGAAAGAACCAAGTATTTTTTTTATTCACTGTATTTAGGCTATCTTAAGTACACCACAGGTTCCGAGCCACATCGGCTCGTCGTTGTCGATTTGGTTAAGCCAACTTGTGCGACCCCGCCCCAAAAAATGGCCCTGCGCACAGCGGGAAGGATCGGAACCCGCTGTTGGCTTGACCTGTGACGCAGGCCTCACGGCAAGGGATGTCGTTGGCTTGACTTGCAACGCTGGCTTGACAGCGGCATCTGATCGGAATACCATTATTCCGACCTGCACGTCGGCAGAGGTTGGTGGTCACTGATCAGATATCGGTTGGCCAAAAAAGAGCAAGCTTGACTTGGTCTGCTAAAAAGCGGCTCTGGGGGAATTCGAACCCAACATGCCTTCATTCAGGACCACTCACTCCACGAGTTCCAAGAGACGCACTAACTACTCCACCATTGCACCTTTCTGGTCTGTCCCTTCTGTTTGAAATCAAATTCCACGATTTCCTTACAATTTCTTTGGAAATCTTCTCATTCCGTTGAAGTTTTTTTTTTTTTTTCAAAATTTTGAACATGTGTAGCCTCTTTTTAATCATTCAGAGAGACCACAAAACCAATTGTGAAATTGGTTTTTTTTGTCAACCTATTGGTTGAGCTGACCCTTCGTCGTACAAGTTAATCGACCGATGTGGTCATGTCGCCATCATCATTTGGGTTTGCCATCGTCGGCTTGCTCGCGAGGGCACAAGCTTGTCAGCATAAAGGGAGCTGTCCCTCCCTGTATGACTCAGGGGTCATGACGCTGTCAACACCAGGCTAGTCGGCTGAGTTGACTTGACCCTTGAGTCATACAGGGCATACCATCGTAGGGAAGACCAAGATTTGCCGTCAGCTTGCCTGCTGTGTCAAGTGCAAGGCAGGCAGGTCATCACTGACCTGCGCGGACTCAAATTTCATTCCCCTGTGGGGTTGACGCGGTCAAACAAAAAATATCGACCTGTGGTGTAGACTACATACAAGTGATCAAAATGTGGTAGAAATAAAATTAAATTAAAATATGGTTTTGAATAAAAACTGAGAGGAAATATATGAGTTCATGGAAGAAATAGCCGGACAAGTCTTCTCAGTCTCTATTAGACAAGTTAGTAATATTAATCATCACACAACATGAACATACACTCCACCACAAATGAATAGAGTTGTTAATTCTAGACAATCAGATGTTAATGAATCAAATAATGAAATAGAAGAAGAAAGAGACCAATCACAGAGACAGGGGTTGTTGATTAAATTGCTTTGATAGTTCTAATTAGACTCCAAAAGAGAGAAAAAGCGGAAGAAAAGAAGGGTGATTTTAGGGAGGAGTAAGCCAAGGAAGCTGAAAACTCAACACTAACCCTACTTAGACCATCTGATGATGAACTGAATTCTTTTTCCCACTAGAAACCAATTATAGATTTCCAAACAAACAAACAACCCTTTCAAGACGTGCAACACAATAGGATCAAGAAACGGAAGCCGAGAGACCCTCTGATCCTCCTGTCAGCTTACTCTTTCCGAGGATCTTATACTGTCAAACCCTTGAGCCCACATACCCCTTTATCTGGTTTGGCTGCAGGTGATGCACAGTTGCAAGGAATATGAGCTCCAGACAAAAAAAAAGAAAGAAATTTGGTGGACTGAAATGAGGATGTGGTTTGGGGGTTTGTGGCCTTCTACAGACAGACATTTGGTTTTGACTCTATACATCTCTCTGCATGCCCATCACAGCTCCCTTCCTCCCTTCCCCTGTAACAGCGGTGGGCCGCTACGCTACACTACGCTACGGGCCCATGTAGCGTTAGCGTAGCGGCGCCAATTTTTTTTTTTTTTGTGTAGTGTTAGCGCGCCGCTACGGCCGCTGCGCTACGCTAACTTGTAGCGGCGCTAACACTAGCCATTTTTTGGTGTAGTGTTAGCGCCTCGCTGGCGCCGCTACGCTGCGTTACGCTACGCTACAGCGTCTTTAGCAGGAAAAAACGCCAAAAAACTGCTGTAGTGCAGCGTAGCGGGCGGTTTTTTGCGCCCTGTGCGCGTAGCGTTAGCGCAGATGCAGAGAATTGCGCTAACGCTACGCTAAACGTTAGCGCATTGTTTTGCCCCGTGCGCGTAGCATTAGCGCTGAAAATGAAAAAAGCGCTAACGCTACGCTACATTGTAGCGATTTTTCGCTACACTACACTACGCTAACGCTACAGTTAGCGTAGCTGGCCCACCGTTGCCTGTAAAAGCTTGCCTTATTTTTTATATGCAAGTTTCAGCACCACATGACAGATGATGTATAAAACCCTTGTGTCCTTGCCGACACACATGAAGATATCTATCTTGATTGGACACACAACCCTACACATCATATAAGGGGGAAGAAAAGATGGAATAGAGGAAAGTCAAGTGGTATAAATATATGGATATTCTGGATTTATTTGTTGAGATGGGCATCAGCAAAGAGACCCTTCTTTGAATCTCAATCTGAATCTGAATTTGATTGATTGAACTTATATATTTTTGTGTATAGATATGTAAGTATAAGTATTGAAGTGGAAAGACAAGGATAAAAAGAAAGAACCAAGAACCAAGGAGAAGAATGAATGATTACAAAAGAAAGAAGAAGAGTAGTAGTAGTAGGAGTAGTGGTAATAATACAACAACTTGAAGGATTGAATGAAGGAATCAGTGGATGAATTGTTGGAATTGGACTATGATAACGATGATAAAAAGAACAACAACAAATCAGAAAAAACAAACAATTGCTTTTGGTGTGTGAGAGACGTAGTTGATGGAGAGACGACCCCTTTTTATTTAAACAGACCCCCTTCTCCCCCCGGCCAGAAAAAAAAATGAAGTACATAATACCCAGGATTTTGACAAAAAAAAAGAAGAGGAAAAGCTATATAGACGAGGGTAGGAGTTTTGATGTATTGAATTTTTTTTGTTTTCAGAGGATGATGAGATTTTTTTCGAGAGGAAGGAGGTGGGGAGGAGGGGCGGTATGTGATTCGGCCGAAGAGCGATGGATGGGCAAGAGCGGAGATTTGAGATTGGAAGCCGAAGAAGGGAGGGTGGAGGGGGGTTGCGAAGAAGGATTGGAGAAGAGGACATGGAGCAGATGGAGATGGAAGAGGTTACAGAGGGAGAGGAGGATGAGGGCGGGGAAGACGAGGGAGGCGGCGCGTTCGTCGCAATTCTCGTCGACCAACAAGCCGGGCGAGGGCCAATTGAAGAACAAGAAGGAGAAGGATTGGGTCGACAAGCCATAGTCCGGCGTCCGGGAGAGACTCGCTAGACTGTCCGAGCCTAGCGCAAATTGACACAGCTCATGGGCCGCCGAGCTCTGCAGATTCTTCGAGAAATCTACCGTCATCATCACGATGCTTCCGAACCCACTCATCAACATGTTCATGATCGCTTGGATCTTTAACGGTCGTTGCAAGCGCTCGCTTCGTCCCTATCATAGCAACAACAAAAAACCACAGCATTGATCTCCCGGTTAGCATTTTTGTTGTAGGGGGGTCTGACTCTTTGAGATATGTAGAATTGATGTAGTGGGGGGAAAAAACAGAAAGAAAGAAGAGAGAGAGAGGACACTGACGAAGAAGAGCGTTCCGAGCAAGCTGATGAGACTGGAGAGCAGCGCCGATTGAGCCAGGAGCCGCAGGAAGACGATGGCCAATTCGAGCACGGTGCGGGAGTTCAAGAGCTCTTCTTCGGCTTCTTCTTCTGCTGCTCCGCCGGACGGACGATGGAAAAGCAGTAAGGTTGATGGCGAGGTGGTCGGGCTGGACAGGTTGGAGAGTGTGAGCAACGAGATCGTCAGGAGGATCACGGAATATAGTGTCTGTGTTTGACTGCATTTTTTTTTTTTTTTTGGAGGGTAATCAAGAGTCGAACGGTTAGTCTCCCGGGTTCCAGTTTGTGGCTCTCGGTCGTTCATCTGACCAATCGGGAAAATGATGGTGCTTTACCTGAGAGATAAGCATCCTAAGAACTTGGGATTAGGGTCATTGGTTTTCATGATGGACTGATTTGCTTGAGTCGAAAAAAAAAACTTGTTTGTGTTTTTTTGTTGGGAGGGGGAGGGAGAAGGAAGCTATGTATCTTTCTTTTTTTGGGGAGAGGGTGGGGAGGAGAGAAGGGGAGAAGGAGTTAGGAAAAGTGTATTGGATGTGTATGTTCGGCAGGAGATATGAAGTGGGATACAGCGGACACGGAAGGAGGAAAAGAAAAATCGAAGGGAAGCAGCTGTCTTCCGAGAGGGGTCTTGTCGTTTACCCTGATCGGATCCCCATCTGAATGATCAGCCTACTACATTAGACCCCCTAGTCTCCCCCGGGGACTGAATACAAGATCGTGACACAACAAAGGTTCGGCAAAAATCAACATAAGCCAGCTCGGCATCTTATAAAAAATCTCGTCTCCGAGTCCGGAAACCTGCTTCCGAAATGTGGAGGAAAACACCGCTGCGGCGACTGCAAATGGAGATGTTTACATATTTATTTGCCTGAGAGAAAGACCGATCCAGATGGACGGGTGTGTATCTGCAAGGCGGATCCATGGACGATGGATCTCCCTTTTCCATATCAAACCAACTGGCAACTGCACACCCGAAAAAAGGGAATCAAGAGAATTGGGGATCGGGGGTCACCACAGTACATAAACCCAAGAAGGGGCAAGGTCGTCAAGACAAACATCTTCATCTTCATGCAGAAATTCGTTGTAGTGCGTGAACAACAACAAGAAGAAGGAGAAGTATTCAGGATATAACAACGGGCTTCAAGTGAATAGTGCTGATTGTCCCTCCATATCTACAGCTCGATGGTATGTACTCGATGATTGGGGATCGTCGTATGTATGGAGGAGGAGTTTGGAGGATCGGTCTGCAACGACGGTTGTCAAGCCCAGTGAGCTTTGATCAAGCAAGCAGAGAACTCAACCGAGCTCATTTTTTTTTCACCCATCAATCGATGCCCATTCTGAGCGCCTCTTTCGGCTCGGTTCTCCAGCGGATTGGATGTAAAACGGTGCAAGCGAGAGGCTCTGAATGGGTTGGTGGAGGACCGACAATATCCACTTTGTCTTACAAAATGATGCGAGCGTTTGTTTTATTCTTAACAAAAACCGAGCCCACAATCCATGCTGTTTGTCTTGCATGAACAGCATGCAAAGTGTCCCATGAATCCGGCCTAATCCGGCTCAAACCAGCAACCAACATTCACAAGATGATTTGGACACTCCCCCGACTTCTTACATGGAGTCTCCAACCATCAACTCCCCACTTTCCTCCAAGCAATTCCTACTAGTCAAGAGTTAAAGGGCTCATTTTTCTTAGGAGAAGGGAAAGGAGACCAAATTTGGCAGCATGCATATTATAGTCCTCTATCCGATGACCACCAAGATATATGAGGCCTCTATGTGTGTGTGTGTCATGGACATATTTATCTTGGCAACCAGCTCTCCTGGGGTTTCCCTAGCCTGATTATGACCTAGCACTGACTCCTTTTTCAACCCATTTCCATGTCATCTCCTTTTGAAATTCTGCTGCTTTTTTTTTTCTCTTCTTCATACCGCCCCCCTGCTTCCATTTGGTTTACTTGATTTTTTTCTGAACTCCCTGAAAATATTGTGATCTCTTCGAGAATTGTATGATGTCACACCTCAGTAATATTTGTAGGATTAATCAGGGTCAACTTAACAAAATTAACACCTCATGATGTGTATCACAAATCTCACCCCTCCCCGGGGGCCGCGGGGTCTTGAACAGCCTGTGAAAGCCCCTCCGAAGTCATCTGTGACATGGACGCGATCGGACGAATTTTGCCGAAGAAAGTTTGTGACGCGTCTGCCGCCGGGTGCTGACAATCCACTTCGCCCTCCGGCCCATCCGGGTATGTAAAGAATTCTTTGCAAGCATACATACATATCCCCGTCGGACGAAGACAGAAGGAAACCAAACAAAAAAAAAAAAAACCCGCAGCTTCAGAAAAGACACCCCCCCCCGATTCTTGCCGAGATCGTTTCTTTTCTTCGGGAGGATAATTACATACCCTCGCCATTCAGGACTCGGATACGACTACATAAAGACTTGGGCGTTAGATAGGTCGGAGTTACCAGGCTCGATACTGTCCACGAGAATATACCGTCAATGGTCGGACATATGAGTTCGCATCATGTGCTGGAGCGGCGCCAGCAATGGGACACACCGATGGGCGGAATGACCAGTGCTATCGGTACCTATGCGATCCATTCTCGGTTTCTGGGCGTCAATCCAACGGTGCCTCATGATCTGATTGCGTGAGCTTCGAAATTTCGATTTGAAAAACAATTGAACGATTCAAAGTTCAAATTGAACTGACCTTTGTTTTGATTCGTGATGGACCAAATGATCGCCGCCAAACAGCTCGATGCTTTTCTGTCTGATCTTTGCCGGCCTAATCGGCGGATGCGTCTTCCTTGGCCGGAACCCATTCCTTCGAACGATCTCCATGTACACCCTCTTCTTGGCCTCCTTGTTCCTCTTCTTGGCGTTCGCTATTCGCGCCGGGATCTCTAACTCCTCGGACCCGAAAAAATCGAGCTTCATTGCCGAATCTCTGTTCTTGATCTTCGCTCAGTTTTGCATTGTAAGCTCTGTTTCTGTTTTTTCATTTTCATATTCTATTCTTTTGAATTTGGAATCCGTTAACCATTTTATTTTATTTGAATGTTTTTTTTTTAAAGTTGGATGTATGGATGATGCGTATGCGAGACGAGTTGATAGACTATTATGACGACGTAAGTCGGTCAGACCTGATCCCCCGCATCAAGAAGCCCACACAGAAAGAGAAAAAAAACACACATCACAGTTCCATGGTGCTGATTTCGAGAATCCGTCATGTCTCATGTCTTTTGACGGATGCTGAAGTCCTACAGACTCGACCTACGTGGCCCGGCCAGCCTGAAAGCCATCATGAATTCGGTGAAGAAGAGTGCGGAGACGCGATGTGTCTTAGTGACCAGAGTGGTGATCATCCCACTCTGTGTGATCCTGTATATCGTCGGCTACTCCACTTTGCCCGATCCCGATGACCCAGCAATCGTCGGACGTCATGGTTCCACCCGAGGTCAACAGATACTACTCTTTCAAATTGAAACCCCCCCCCCCCTTATATTTATCTCCCACACTAATTTTTGCGTTTCTTTTTCTGATCCAACAGAAGTCGCAAGTTTTATGGTGTTTATTGTGCTTTGCACAATGCAAGCAATGACTCTGAAGCATGCCTGTTTTAATCTACCGCCTTGGCTACCATACTTGATCTTCTTCGGAATAGCACTCTTACTATGGCTGCCCGCAATATGTAACTAACTCTTCTTTTTCCTTCTTTTCTATCCAAGATAGACATGGAGAATGATAGTGATGATGATCAGGAACTGATGGACGGAATATTATCTTACAGATGCGTTTTGTCTTCTGGCTGTAGTAAGTCACCACTATCCAACTCCGATGCAATAATGGAACACTGAATCGACCTTTAATCTTGTTTTTTTTTTTCTAAAGGCACCTGATAGCTCATCATTTGTCAGATCGAAGACATTCTTTTATGTTAGTTTTGGCTTTGCACAAGCGGTAGCGATCGGCGGATTGATAGCGATGCATCGACAGAAGCGGATATGGGAGTACGAAGTCGGCCAAGAATCGGCCCCTGAAGAGGGCAAAGAACCTCCTGATCAGGTCGAGGTGTCAGTCTTTCTTTTCGCTTTTTCTCCCTCGTACAGGAATTGCTTTGCTTACTCGAACTCAAAATCTCATATCTCTCCCTCCTTTCTCCGTCCTTCAGGGTCGAGTAAATCTCAGAATCGTCACCTCTCGCTTCTCCAGTGGCACAAAACTTCTTCTAAATCATCAACTTCTCACTTTTTTTTCGCATCTATCTAAACGAACAATACTCTGCAAGATTCTTCCATCATGACCACTACGACAACATGCTTTTTGATACACATCTCGAATACATATATATATTTATAAAGATCATACGACTATCAACGTAGGTTCCTCTGAATTTCTTCTTTTATATGTACCAATCTGTTGTTGTTTTTCCTTCTTTCGTATTCATACAAAAAAGTGGAACCAAAAGCGCAATATGCGCTTCCGCAAGCAATATTATAACAATAACACAAATTGCTATCCATAACATAATGTGAGTTTATCAAAAAAAGAAGAAAAAAAACCATTGTGCATGGCTTTCTTTTGACCGGTGCGATGTATTCACACCAACTGAATGGGCGAAGCATAAGAAATGAGTTTTTTTCGAAGACGTATATCCCCCTCTTTGGTCTACACGCCACGCGGGTATTCTTATAACTTGCTTTTCGAACGATTTTGGATCCCGGGGGACACTCTTTGTTGGGAGGCTATGGGAGGGACATCTTCGTCGCCGGAAACAGACATCCTTCCACCATCGGGGGGTTGTGTTGAGTGAAGTGATACGTGCAAGAGTTCTGGCTCAGTTTGCAATCAAGTTGCACCAATCATCAATGTTGCTGGACCTTATAAACGCCAGTCACCACTTATTTTAAAAATCTTCAGGAGTTGTGTTTCAGAATTACTAAGGACATTATGCCTCTAGGCTCTGCTGTCATCAAATTTCAGAAACCCGATAAATGTTTTTGGATCAAGCATAGAAAAAGTAAAATCGGAAAACATCTTGAGCAATCGTTCAACGACATTTATTTGTCTCGGGGGCTTACATTGCCATAGATAATAAAAAGATTGCAGTTCAATTTAGGCCTTAGTTTCTTATGATTTGACAATTTGTGCCCATGTGGTGTAGGTAAAAGTCAATTCGGCCAATGGGTCAATGAACAAAGTTGTAATAAACAGCGCTCAATAAACTATTAACGTACCGCATCGTCAAGGACAGCTTAGCGGACTTCCGGCGTATTTCAAGCCTGATGATACGAAGCAATTGGCTTCAATTCAGGATGTAAAAACATCAATTGAGGATGATCAGGCCAAGTTCAACTCACGATTCACTTAACAGATGGCGGACGGCGGGGTTTGCAACCAGGTTTTTCCAGTAGTACTGAAAACCCGGGCGATTTGTCAACTTTTGAATGACTGAGAAGAAACAGACCGACTTACAGTTGCCATGAGGATCACAACAAAATTTTTGAAAGGCTATTGAGGCGCGAGAGGACGACCCGCAAGGATTGTCAGCTGATGAGAACGGCACACAAATCTACGTGGTCAGCTTGAAATCGAGAGGCCGTTGATTTTCAAAGTGCAAAATCTCCCAAGAATGAGTTACTTATCATATCCTCCCTCAGGAGGGGGGGGGGGGGGGTAATATGTCAAGATCAGGGAAGTGGAGCTTTTGAGGTTAGAATGAAAGATGATCAAACTTGGGCCACCATTACTCACTCGGCTTTAGGAATCCACAATTGATTGAGCCAACCAACAGGATAAGGCTGTAGAGTCCAAAGATCCACATAACGATGATTTCGGTATTTGTAATCTTATTGGGACACGCGAGTAGAACAGTCAAAGCGGATCTCGAGGGAAACCTTTTCTAGTGGTTGTGGGAGGATCAAGATAGAGACTGTTGTTTGCAGCTTTTTATGGTCAGTGGATTGCAGGTGCACACCGCGCTGCACTAGTCTGGAGGTGGTGATTGGTGTGGCTGGATTCCTCAACGGCAGGCTCAAAGGTACATACATATTTGCTTGGGTCATGTGATGGCTGTGACAGTGGCTTAAGGCTCATTGGTTTTGCAAAAATAGACACGTCACAATGCTTTGTGGTACTAGATAGTCAACTGACGCCGCCGGGTCATAGGCATAGGGCATGGCACATTGTATCACACCACTATACATACATCATACACCCAAGAGTTTGAAGTCAAAATCAGCTACCACCAAAAGTAAAATCACAAAACATCTGGCCAATCATTCAACAACATTTATTTGTCTCAGGGGCTTAGAGTGAGATAGATAATAAAAGGATTGCAGTTCAATTTAGGCCTTAGTTTTTTATGAGTTAAATATTTGTGCACCTGTGGTTTGTGTCTGTTGGTATAAGTTGATTTGGCCAATGGGTCAATGAGCAAAGTCGTAATAAACAGAGCCCAGTGAACTATTCACGTACCACATTATCACGGACAACTTGGCGGACTTCCAGCGTATCTCAAGCCTGACGATACGAAGCAATTGGCTTCAAATCAGGATGTAAAAACATCGATTGAGGATGATCGATCAGGCCAAGGTCAACTCACCATGCGCTTGACAGATGGCGGTACGGATCCGCAACCAGCTTTTTTCACTAGCCCTGAAAAACCCGGACGATTTGTCAGTCAACTTTTGAATGACTGAGAAGAAACAGACGGACTTACATCTGGCTTTAGAACCACAACAATGTTCTCGAAGGCTTGATGAGACGCCAGAGGACGCCAGGCAAGGATTTCCATCTGATGAGAACGGCACAGAAATCTACGTGGTCAGCTTGAAATCGAGAGGCCGTTGATTTTCAAAGTGCAATGCCCGGAGACAATCCCCCAAGAATTGAGTTACTTATCATACCCTCCCTCAGAAGGGGGGTAATATGTCAAGATCAGGGAAGGGGAGCTTTTGAGATTAGAATGAGAGATGATCAAACTTGGGCCACCATTACTCACGATGCCATCCGAATGCACAATTGATTGAGCCAACCAACAGAATAAGGCTGTAGAGTCCAAAGATCCACATAACGATGATTTCGGTTTTTGTAATCTTATTGGGTCACGCGAGCAAAACCGACAAAGCAGATCGCCAGGGAAGTTTTTTTTAGTGGTTGTGGGAGGATCAAGATAGAGCCTGTTGTCGGCAGCTTTTTATGTTCGATGAATTACAGTTGCACATCGCGCTGCACCGCACTGGAGGTGCTGATTGGTGTGGCTGGATTCTTCAACGGCAGGCTCAAAGGTTTTTGCTTGGATCGTGTGATGGCTGTGGCAGTGGCTTGAGGCTCATTGGTTTTGCAAAAAGAGGAACGTCACGATGCTTGGTTGTACTAGATAGTCAACGCACGCCGCCTGGTCATAGGCATAGGGCATGGCGCATTGCATCACACCACTATACATACACACAAGAGTTTAAAGTCAAAATCGGCAGATTTCAACAGCTGAACTCCACATACAACCACAAAGTCCACGAAAAAGCACCGTAGAATGACTACATATTTCTGTAGAGGATGGAAGAAATCCGGCTTCGACTCGGTGTCCGATCCCGATTCCCAACCGGGCCTGGTTTTATTTGCATGTTATCCAATACTAACTGCCATGCTGCTATGATAACTTCTGGTATATTGATACTTAATATTACAACAAAGAGGAGCAAAATAAAGTACACATTGCAAGTCAGATGGTTGATTTGATTTTATCTCAATAAACAAAGATACAAGAAGATTATTCATCAATGTAAACGGCTTTTGAATTTGGATATATATATGTCTGTGCGGAGTGAGTTAGGGGTTACAACTACATCTTTATCCAGAAAAGAATCAAGAGGAAGAAAAGAAAAAAAAAAAACTATGTATTCTGAGTAAAACGTACAGGTGTGAGAAAGAGCCAAGAGAAAAGGATGTCAAAGAAGAGAGAACGAAGGATGATTGTTTAGAGAGAGCCGATATAGTTCAAGGGGACTATTCGGCGGACAAGATCCGTTGAGGGAGGTCGTCTGGGCCTCGAGTGAAGCCGGCTTGATAGGCCAATTCCCAGGCTCGTTGGATATCCGGTTGGTCGTTATCAGTCAATATTATGCCATCATCGTCCTCGTCTTCCCCTTCTTCTTCTTCTGCTTCTTCTCCTTTCCCTTGTTCTTGTCCTTGTTCTGCTTGTTCTTGTTCAATGGAATTACGTCCTTTGGATTCTTCTATCGGGTGTTCGTCTATTCGTGTTTTCTTATGTGTCGACCTTGACCTGGAGATTCCAAAACAACACAAAAAAATCAGAAAATCATTCAACTTCCACTTTTTTTTTCGTCTTGGTTATTAATGAAAAGAAGAAATGGTAAAGCAACGAAGAGAGGAAGGGTATGCACTGGATGTTAAGTCGATTAAGAGATTCGGTGGTAGCATGTAAACGTTCTCTGAGCACGTTTTGTTCTTGTAGTTTGATCGATTGAGACATCGACATTCCAGCCAATAAGGAATCTGATTTAGGACTCTGATAACCAACAAAGCCAAAAAACATCAGACTTGAAATTGTATATAAATCTTCACCAAAAAAAAAAAAAAAAAAAAAAGAGAGAGAAGGAAGAGGTACGAAAGATTGTTCCTGCATGAGTCGTCTCTTGAATCCGACAATCCCATCAGGCCCGATACTCCGGAGTTGGGTGTGATTATGAGTAAGATTTTGATGATGATCTAGGAGCTTGCAGTTGCAGGACGAGTTATGGTTGGCTATGTGGGCTGCAGAAGATGTTGATGACGATGATCCGGTGGGTCCTTCAATCGTTGATTGGCTTTGTAGCTGGCTCAATCGGATCAATAACTTGCGCTCATAGTTCTTTAAGATCTTTCCATTTTCTGATGTCTCTGGAAACCTTCTAAAAACAAATCATCGATCGATCGATCGATCGCATCGCATCGCATCGAAGAAGAATTCTACGTAAGCAATCGTGTTCAATGAATGATTATAATTGGTAGATCAGCTTACGAGCTAGCCAGGTTCCTTCGACAAGATTCGAGACTGTTTTGGAGCTGTTGAGGGGAGCTATTTCTGATCGAAAGGTCCTGTTGCTTGAGTCTTTGATGGAGCGATTTGGTGATCAGGGGCGACTGTTTCTGGTGTTGTCCATGTTGTTGAGATGGTCTGGTGTGCATGGTTGAAGTGTTGATGATGGATGGTCCGGTGGGTGAGAAGTTCAAAGGGTGATGATGGATGCCAACCGAGGTGGGGAAAAGTCAATCCAGCTTCAGAGGACCGCGGATCGGACTCTGCTCGGATCAGTCAATATCGGATCAACCCTGATCATCAGTATCCGACCCGGATGATCCTACATATGCTGTATCCTTCTCAGACATGGATCAAGAACAATTCAAGCTGTTTTGTACCAAAGGGGTCATGAAGAGCCCCTCCACAGAAAAACATCAACTGAAAATAAGGGTGCAACAGGAAGCGGAGAAAACTTGATGTATGCAATGAGATTGTTTTATAGCCAGCTCCTGAGTTCTCCTCAACTTAATCAACTTCCAACCAAACAATTGCTGATTTGTTTTTAGTAATTATAGGGTTTGCTGATGATGAGGATCGTGAAACCTTGAACACTTCCACGGCAAAAAAAATCAACAGGACCAGGTTTTTTGGTGCAGACATTCCATCTTCCCCTGCAAAGGGATCAGGATCATGTGGACCTTTCAGATGATTGTAGTACAAGGCCAGAAGACTAATATGCCTGAAGACTCCTTGCACATTCCTGTCAGATGTATCCTGTTGTAAAGGGTTATGTATTAATTGGGAAGGCCTTAAGTGAAAGGGCAATGTTTCATAATATATTGATTCCATGTGTCCTTTTTCTGGAAAAAACATGTATTAGATGTGGATAAGAACACCACATGATCCATATTTTTGGCCAATACTACATACTACTATCAGTATCATACATTAGACCCAACATGTTTGTGTATTTACAAGACTGATAGCTGCTAAAGGTGTTCTGTCTATGCTAAGATCACTTGCAATATTGGTACATTCAACCACTAAGTCCCTCAAACCAAGTTGTGGGTGTGGTTTATCAAGCTTCTGGGTATCAAACAGCTTGGTGCAATGGCCAAATCATACACAATTTACTCAAAGATCAGGATGGTTCACATTTGAAATTAAAAGCTATTCTTGTAGAATTCATCATTAAGATTTCATACATTTTTGTCTTGCCAAAATTTGTGACATTCAATTGATATTTAAATGGGCTAATAATTTCATTTCAAGTTCGGAAATGAAGTGGCCTATTTCAGGAGTCTGAAATCTGTAACCTTCATTTATGTTCCAGGGATGTGGGATCAAGGTTTGATATTATACTCAGGTTATCAAAAACTAGTAGATAGGTATTGATTGATATATGGCACTCTGATCATGGTGTTGATTTGTTTAACAAGCTTAACCTAGCTTAAACTTCATCCAACAGGAGTGCCAAAATGGGTTTGACTTGATCAAATTAATCAAAATTGTGAATGAACCAACTAAAAACAGTATTATAGCCAATTCTGAGGTGAAGTAACACATAAATACGCAATGGCAAGTATTATAATAAGGGGTAGCCATGCTAACAGCCTGCTATTAATGTGCAGTGAAAGCTGCTAAGCTACACTAATACTAAATGGGGAGATAATTTAGCATGAATTAGTCCATAACTGATAAAGTGTGAAATTCTTGCAACATCAATGCACTTATTTCAAGGCTAAAATGTTCATAATTAGGAAAATTTATGTTTGATATTCAAGAAGTGAAAGACCAAGAAAACAAATCTCACATAATCTTATTGGCTGACCTGCACAACTGTTTTTTGATCTCCTTGAATGAAAAAGATTGAGTGAAATCGAATTGCACATTAATGAGATTATGGGAATTATAACTAGCCTCAGCCCTTCTGTTGATGAAGATCAATAGTCCAAAATAATATGAATTAGGCCCCATCTAAATTACACTTGAATTTCACAGAGCCTCATGGGGCCTTATTGGAAACAATGAAGAGATTAATTGTACCTTCTATGTTCTATTATTGCAATTAAAATAAAAAAGTAATGATTCATGCACAAAATAATCAAATAGTGAACAGATCATTGGAGGACTTCCCGTCAACATCTGCGGGTCTCCCAGAGCTGGTTTAGAGGCTCGAAATTCAAATTTCTCTGCGAGAATCAAGAATTTTCGGGTCTAGACGGACTTCTGCGAGGGCCCCAGATCCGACGGGAAGTCCTCCATTAGCATAGTAATAACACTCAACTTCAAAAATGAGTAAAAAGTGCATCTGTTATTCTAATACTCAAAAGATACAATTCATTTGGAATCTATATTGTATATTTCTTATTTGGATAGTGGAATCCTCATCCCACTGCACCTCTCAGTGCATCCCTATGATTGATTTTTGGAGAATCCAAATCATCGCATATTTCAGACAGATCATCATGAATGGATTGGACGTGTAGGAAGAGTTTTTCTCGGTGTTCAGGGGTGGTTCCTTTAGTGTTGAGCAACAGAAAGCTTTGGAGACTTTCGACGGAGACGTTCATCCGAGCGCCAGTCTCCAGAAACTCAAACAGGCCTCTGTCTCCGCTCCGAGCTTTGGTTTGTGATAATTGATTGCGCAAGAGTGTCCGTTGGATTTCTTGGCTATGAAATGGACTCATCTCCCATTGGATCAGTTTGAGCATCTCGATGACCGAATCCACTTGTTCTTTCCATGTATCAATCTCCAGTTTGGCTTTCTCTATCCACCCAAAAGATAACCAGAAAAAAACCCATATATCAAAAATCGCGATCGAGTCCAGTCTGCGTTTGCGGGCAACATACCGTAATATCTAGAAGCTCTTGAAATCATCCCGTCTAAACAATCCATGATCTCGATTTTGGCCAACATAAAGATCTGTTCACGTGCGTATCTCTTGTAGATTCCATACTCGTTTTTCAGATACGCGTTGGCCACTAGATTCGGCTGGTTTGAACCCACACGACTCCTGTAAACATCGATGATAAAAGTGTGGACCAGGAAGGCAAACGTGGCTGGGGTTCGAACGAATTCCCTGTTCTCCGTAAAGCGTGCGAGAAGGCGCTCCAAATCTTCAGATGAAAATCTTTGCATCTCCAAATATATTAGTGAGTTGACGATTTCCGTGATCCCAAGTTCCAGTTTTTCTGCACAAAAAGAAAAGAGCAAATTGGCATCATCGCGCTCTCTGCTTTTCGATCGAAGAAAGAGGGATTACGACGTCTTTAAGAAGAATGACTTGTTGCTTGCAATGGATTTAATTTACTCACCCATAAATTGTGCGACTTCTGCTATTGACTTCCATTGTTTCAGTTTTTCCATTTGGTCCGCTTGAAGCTGATGGCTGCTTGGATCCACTGCGGGATGTTCTATGATGAGTGTTTTTTCCAATTTTTCACGGGATTCTCGTTTCGGGACACTTGCGCTACCTTTTTCTTGCGAGTTCACCCGAGGATTGACTGAACCAAAGCAACACAAAGTGCGTCCTTCTTGATTTTTGTGAACCGAATTCGCAGATGTATGGGTCGACTTGGAGGCAGTATCTTTCGATCTTGCCACAGCCTTAGGAATGGGATATTCCAGATGATAACCGGCGCCGGATGGAATTGATTTGGATTGTTGAGGAGGTTCCGGCAGGGAATAAGTCGTGAGATGCAGTTTGGGCAAACCGCCTATGCGTCCTTGAACATAAGATAGTACTGAAAGTGAGTAAAAGTATGTCAGGATTGCGCTGGTGCTTCGCGAATACTTCATTGGATCTTTTGATAACCGATTGTGAATACGGCAGCCCTTAATCGAAGACCAGTGATATTGAACTCCGATGGCTCTGTTGGCCCCAGCTAAAGGCAAGCTTAGAGGTGTACATATATGGTAGGGTCCACTGCGGATAATGACGTGCTAAAAATATCTAGCGGAACACGCCGAAGTTTCATCTCTTGATCCCCATCATACCGCGCGATCAGTGGAAATTATGGATCAACCTGAATCAACTTGGAAGGTTCGACACCTAGGTACGAATATGATGCAATCGACTTTCTTTCGGTCTGAGTGGCACCAAGCACCGAGTCACTGCGGAGGTCGACGGAGCTTGTGCGAACATCGAGCGTGTGCAATTACATGTGTATACATAAATATTTACTTACTACCTATCATGTGGAATTAGAAGAGCCAAGCCGATGGGTGAAAAGAGGAGAAGACAAATGCTCAAATTCAACACGAGAAACAAACTCATGTGTTTCATTCCGTTAATTTTTTTCAAAATGTTTTAACGGGTTTTAAAATTTGAATTCAGGCCGGGTACATAAGACTCTCCTCAGATGAGCCCACTGCCATGTTCATATGGACTTCTGCTCCGTGATGTATTCGACGGCAGGAGGAGGAACCCTGCCAAACAGTAAACTTAACCAGGCTTCGCCCCGCGAGGGACTGGTTAAGTTCGGAGGACCGCCGACCGGATCACATCTTTCCCTCTCGGCTCGTGTTGTAGACAAGTTTCGAGTGAGATCGAGTGCACACTTTGCATTGCCTGAGTAAATCCTTTTTGTTTGATTTCGGCTCCATCCCTGTCCATGAATAGGACTTCAACAACGCGCAAAACATCGTCCGATTTCGGCTGAGCGCACGCTTCTCGGTCTTGTTTCATGAAGCGCATCGAGAGCGCAAGTCCTCTTTTATCTAGATCAAGCCCAACAAACACATGCACCAGGGAAAGGGATTGGCTTCATGCTTTCTGGAAGCTCTGTTACATGCTATTACATGGTCAGTGGTTGTAAATGTCCTACTCTGGCGGGTACATTGGAGCGTGGAAAGGGTGCTCATCTAATGAGATCCGGTCTTGCCCTCTAAATTCCTGCACTGCCATATGTCATATCAAATCTCGGTGTTCTTCATTAGAGCCCTCCGTGGGCCCTTAACCGGCCTGTTGATGATGGCTGGCGTGTGCTATGATGTAGCCTATAGGGGTGTCCCAGTCCCTTGATATGTATTAGTTTGTACGCGCTGTTTTAACCATGTAAATGTCATTGCATATTTATGTTGCCCACCCGGGCACCCGGAGAAGGGCTGTTTTTATTTGGGCACTCCAGAGATATAATGTATTTACATATTTACATTCAAATCGATCATCGGACGCCCTGCCGCAGAATATAAGTAGCAGTCGTACCATAGCGCGCTCTTCCCCTTCATCTTTTCCTCCCCAATATCTCTTGCCCCCCTATCTGCACGTCCTATCAAAGTACCGGTGTTTTCAGGTCTCGAGTCTTTTTTTTGTTCATTCCGGAAGCCATACCCACTCAGAACGAACTTGAGATTGGAGGACAGACATGTCTGAATCTAACAGGAAGTCATCGCCAGGAAGTGTCCCTCTACCGCGGAGTCCGTTGACTCGAGCCATCCATTCCGAAGGCTCGGGGTTGCAAGATCTAGCTACGGCGGCTTTCGGCCCGGCGGTCGGCCCCGACATCACCGTCTCGACTACCTTTCGCATCCAGCCTCCCTCCGACCTCCTCGCTCTTCAGCAAAAACTCGGAGAGCTACCCACACACTCAGGCCTCAACTCCAGACACGCTAACACCACTTCGCCCGGCTCCGTCGGTTCGATCCACTCTTCAAGATCTCCCGGGGAGAGCTTAGAAGCTTACAGGAGGCGAGCGCTCAAATGAACAGATTTTCTCTTTTGTTTTTTTTCTGCGTGCTGACTTGAATGATGATATATAGACATTCTCAACCTGTTTTGGCCCAAACAGAAAAGACTCTCGGGAGCATTTTGGTAAATAAAAAGCTCTTGTCCTTTTATTACGCAATTTCTTTTCCATTTGTCCGTTTATAAAGATGTTTGTATTCTGATGTAGTTTTTTTTGCACAACTTTTTTTAGAATGGAGAAGCCTTGGTTTATTCCTCCGGACTGTCAGCCGCTTTTGCTGCGCTCATGCTAATTGGTCCAGACGTGATCGCGATCCGTGATGGATATCGAGGCTGCCATGAAGTACGTCTTCTCTAATTCCGCCGCTCTATGATGAAGAACTGCCGGTCTTTCTGATGCGCAAACCTCCACTATTTCTGTATCACCTTGTCAACCTCAGACCATCAAGCGCTACTGCCAATTGAGGGGAATGAATGAAAGGAACTCAGTGGAAGTCAAAGTAATTGACCTTGATGATTCTTACCCCCTGCCGGAAAGCGGGTTGAGGGTGCTCGTCTGGCTCGAGACTCCGGTGAATCCTACGGGAGAGTGTCGCGATATCCAAGCTTGTTGAGTGACATGATGCTTCCGATCACTTTCTGGATGGGATGGTTCACGGACTAACAATAGTCTTACCTCTGTGTGCCCAGATGCAAAGAAAGTGCGTCAATGCTCCGCGGGATCCGAGCTCCTGGTCGATTCGACGCTTGCACCCCCACCGTTATCGAATCCGTTTGCCTTTGGCGCCGACGTGGTATTGTACAGTGGCTCGAAATATTTCGGCGGCCATTCCGACACACTCTGCGGGATCCTTGTGACCCACAAGTCAAACCCGTCCCGCTGGCGCCGGTTGTGGAACGACCGAACCCATCTCGGCATGGTCCCTGGCTCCCTAGAAAGCTGGCTTCTTTTGCGCTCAGTCAAAACCCTACAGCTGCGCATCATCCATCAGTCCGATACCGCCACCCGATTAGCGGTTTGGCTGAACAGCCTCACCGAACGCGATTACCGCTCCGATACCGATCCCGACGAGATGCGCCGATTGGTCACGCGTGTCTGGCACTCCTCCTTCCAAGACGGCGGCCGGTGGGTCGGCTTCGACCCGCAAACTAACGAACCTCGTCAAATGATGGGCGGCGGCTCGCCCTGCTTCTCCTTCATGCTTCGACGGTCTATTCATGCCAAATGGCTTCCGTACCTCACGCAATTATTCATTGTAAGCAGACCCATCCCCCTTCTTCTTGCTGACATTTCCACTGAACCGTCTGTCATTTTCATTCTTAAATAGCCCGCCACATCTTTGGGTGGTGTAGAATCACTCATTCAGCACCAAGTACAAGCGGAGCCTTCTGCAGACCCACGCATCGGTAAGTCACGTCGCTTTCTTGTCAGAGCCTCGTGTGGGGCTGTTGTTCGCTTACTAATCAAGAGAATCTCGACAGTCCGAATAAGCGTTGGCTTAGAAGACTTCCATGATCTGAAGAATGATCTCATTCAAGCGTTTGATAAAGTCATCAGGGTGAGTTTCATCAGTGCCCCATATAAAGACATGGTCGCAGCTCACCGAGGTTGTTTATATCTAGTACGAACGCCACCACAGTAAATTATGATTGAGTTGATGGAAATCACACCTTTCAAGTCGATCAATTCGGTCCCACCAGCCTCATCTCGTCGATGGAGCGAATCCATCTACATATCTGAAACTCAACAATCGATCACAGTCACGCTAACTTCTTGAATACTTTTATCGGAACGAGATGGAGGAGCAACGGAATTTCTTTTCTTTTGATTTAACGAAACTGCCCATGAAAATGAAACCAACAGTGAAATAAACTGTTTCTGATGCCAAATCTAGGAGTGCTTAACTCATTTTGAACATCTACTGATACTTGCACATACAAACACCAGAAAAAAAAAATTCTGCTTGAGGTTACTGTAACTGTGTAGCATTGCCCTTTAAAGATATGGTTTGGGACAAAGGAAGATGAGTCCACCTGTCTTCTACTCTTTGTCTAAAGACTGCATTGATGGGGTCACTGTATGAGAAACACAAATGTAAGAGTGTGTAATCTTTGTATCATACTGAAGATTGATGCAAGAATGACTAGACAAATGGGTGGCTCATACTATAGTGCAGCCCTTCAGGCTCTCTGTTTCGAAGACAGGTTTATTAATGAATCACTAGCTATGGAGTGGATCCTGAGAAATTTGTAAAATAGAAAGATATGTTTAAGTAGAAGTGATATGAAAAAAAAATCATGACCATTGGCCTTTTGGCCAGCTGTATTGGAGGACCTCTGTCTTTGTGATTCAGACATTTGGGCATCAATTATGAGAAACATGACAGTACTAACCTGGATGTTCTGACATCAATTTAACCATAAAATGTGGAAGGATGACTGACAAGATGATGTGTTAAGTATGAAGAGTATGCAAGCTTAGGCCAACAATCACATGCCTTACCCTGTCTGCTTAAACCCATCAATCAACATAGCACTGTTCAAATACCCATGAAGTAAAGGTAAGACACAAGCCACCGGCATGATGCAACCATCTGTTAATGAATAATCTTAAGGAATGTATTTCTTAAATAAGTATCATGATCTTATAGCGGAAATACATGAGAGAAAAGAAAGCGAAACAATGCCTAACCTTAAGGCAAACAACAGTGAAGCGATGAAGAAGCAACAACAAGGAAAGACAACAAATGAGAAGATCTTTTTATAGATGAAGAATGAAATGAGAAACTGGTTAATTGTCTTGATTCATTTAACACAAAGAAGAGAGAGAGCAAACGAGCGCAATAACCTACGAGGATGAGATTTGACCAGACGAGTAAATAAGATCGGCGAGTTTGTCAAGATAGAAGGGAAGCACAGGTCAAGTCGGCGAAGTGTTGATATGGAAGTGGATGTGCTGAGGAGAGATCAAGATGATCTTGGACTTTATGAAGAAGATATGAAACGACGGCAAGTTACGTCAGATGGAGGAACTGGATAATCGAAAGAGTTAAGAGATTATGGATAGTGATGTTAGGTGAGGTTGTAGATTACAACCAAGAAAGTTCCCCGAGAGGTGGGAACTATTTGGAAGAGTAGGCAGCTTATATGTGTGTGAGCTGCTGAGGGCGAAGGAAAGGAATTAGAGTTACGACTGGGTTCGAGCTTGATGAGATCATATGATGTCATTGGCTCGAGCGTGATGATGGGTTATGAGGATAGCGGGATGATGAAACACTCAGATTTCAACACCATCTAAATTGGTTTCACCTAGCACATCTAACAATATTACTAAACAGGGCACAAAGAGGGTGGATGTGTCTTGAGTGACTCCAGCAATCAATCAAGACCTAATTGTAAGTTTTTGGCCCAAATTTTTAGTCTTGCACAGACAAAAAAGATACTTTCTATGTTGTGGTTGGATTTAAAAAAACAATATCATATATTAGCCAGGATTGCCATCCCCCCCTGCTCTTTGGACATTCAGATGGGCCATGTGGTGGCCTATCAATATGGGAGATCATTGGATTCATAGGATCTGATGGACAACCAGGCCTTACTATTTCACATGTTGAACAGATTGTCTCGGAAGGGAGGATGTGGTTGAAGTCTTGGACCTGAGTTTGCTACTAGCAGATGATCATCAGATAGATGATGTCTTGGAAAGAACACCTGTGTCTTTGAAGTGCTTTTGATATTGAAAACATATATGTGTGGAATTGAAACAGCACCCCCTTAAGAATAGGTATACAGCATCCACCTCTAAACTTCCTCTTATGAGTATTATCACTAAAACAGTGTGTGTAAAGTGGATCCAAACCATGTTCTGGTAACAGGGCCCTGGAATTTGAGATAATGTCTGCTTTCATCCGCAAAGAAGGGCCACCATTTGCAAAGCAAATAAACACATTTTTTTTGAAATTTGATGGTAACATTTACAGGAGGATCCAATCATTCTCCTTGACAAGAAAACTTTGTTTTTCTTCTTGTTTGAAGTATGGATGAAAGAAATACAATCAAGAAGGTGCCAACAAAATCTTCAGGGATGTCTCATTGACAGACATGTTGGCCACAACCTTTCTGGAATTGTTTCAATCAACAATTGGGAAATCAAAGTTAACAGATTGAGTCTTGAGAGCGATCCAAAGAAAAAACAAGCACTTTCAACTTTGAATTGTAAATTGTTCTTACTTCCTTTTGTTTTGTCATGTTTATTGAATTTGAATTATGTTGAAGGAAGGGAAAAAGAGCAAAGAAAAATGCAAGAAGAACTGAGCGGAATGTCAGACGATAACACAGCCGTCTTTAGGATTAGGGTTGCAAAGAATACGGTCGAGAAGGTTGACGCCCCTGTCGAGTTGATGGCCAGGCACGTTGAGATGGACAACGATGATGCCCGGGTTGCGCGGATGGATTTCGAAGGCCAGTTGGTGTTTCCTGACCAACTCCTCGATCGCTGGCTTCACCTGAGGTTTCGAGTTGACCGAATGAAGACCTCTGCCGACGATGAAATTCAACCGATCCGGACGCCCTTTCTTCTGCGCTTTTTCGATGAATTTCTCCGCATACGTTAAGGCTTCCTTTACGTAGAGGCCATGTAAGTCGATCGTATCCGAAGGCAAATCTTTATTATTCTCTGTAGAAAAAAAAAGGAAAACGTTCATTTCCCTAAGTATGGTGCCGTCTTCTTCGGCATTCGATTAATTGGAAAGGCGTTTGAACATAGTAAGTGGCGACATTTACCCTTATAGAGCCATTCAGCTGCCTTGTTGTTGAGGTGATCTCGCCGCTCCTTGTGACGATTGGCTTCCTCTCTTAGGGACTGAGCTTGTTCGCGTTGAGAGGCACCACGAGCCTTTTCGAATTTTTCCTCCATCAGTTTTTGCTCCTTGAGGGCGTCATTGCGCAGACCCGCAAAACGAGGATCTTGGGCGTTTTTCTGGTTATTCGCCTGCAGTCATCATTTATTATGTGAAACCAACGCGCAAGACAATCCGAAAAAAAAAAGAAAAGAATGAACATCAGAGCTGGCTCCTAGCTCGGGTTGAAGAATGAGGGGGAAAGGAATCGGACCGGACAGTCTATTTAAAGAAGTTCGCACTTCAAGAAATAGGACGAGGTCATCTGACAAGTGCAGAATCGGATCATCACCTGGGGTCCAGGGTCTGAGAGGGGGAGGCCCCAAGCTTGATGAGTCTGGTCGGTCGGGGGAGGTTGGCCAGGAGGAGAATCCTGATTGTTGCGATCCACCCATCTTTGGAGTTTCTTGAACCTATCCGAGCCAATCCAAAAACAGAACACAAACACATGCGAACCAAAGAGATTGTTATTAGACTCCGTTCGTCTTGTGCTAGAGCCGATGTAAGTTGAGTGGGATGGAGTCAGTCTGGGGCTGGGAATCACAATCTTATCGCAACGTGGATAAAGGCCATCAGAGCTCCAGGAGAGTACCAAGCAAACCAAACGTAGAGGAAGAGAAGCAGGGATGCAAAGGATGTTGGCAATTTATGAGTGTACGCTCAGATATCCCGAGAGGAGATTGGGACCCCGGCTCGGACCCTAGAAATCCGACAACTTCCGGAGAATCCGCATGCTTGGGGGATGGAGATCCGCAATCCGGTCCGGGGCTTGAGCCCCCCCAGAAATGGAGGGGTTAAATGGGGAAACCACACATCTGGAAAAAGTATCACTTAACTCCCCCCCCCCAAAAAAAAAGAAAGAGATAAAAAAAAGGAAAACGACAAATGATGGAGTAGACCAACAGAAAAGAAAAGAAAAACTGGCAAACCAAGCTATACAAACTGAGGATTTATGAACGAACCCTAAATACATCCCTATGAAGACATACTTATCAGGAACATATTTTAATTTTTGCCCATCAAGTAAGTAGAATATCCAAGAGAAGACTTTGATGAATATGTTCTTGGACCCATCAAGATCATATATGTATAAGGAAGTCAAACTCATTTTGGAGAAAATGACAAAAAAAATCTAATCTGATTGTATGTTTTTATACAAATAAGTGTGAAGAGGAGTGACTATTGGTGGCAAAAGGGGAAGCAAGGGCAGGAGTGGCGGATGAGAGGGGAGGGGAGGAGTGGACATGATGCCATTTGAATAATTTAAGATCTTGTAGAGAGCAGGCGCAAACAAGGATGATAGCATGTGAAGTAGAAAAAGAAGAGGGGAGGGGAGGAGATGATGGAGATGAAGGAAAACAGAGCGTAAGATAAAAAAAAATGAATGAAAGGAGAGGTTTTGTCAATTGAGAGGAGGTAAGGGAGGGGAAAAAAATTATTTGAGGGTATCCAAAGAAGTTTTACGAGTGCCAGTCGGGCGATCGCCTAGTCTTTCCTCCTCGTCCCTCAACCGAAGCTGATCGTCAAGGAAGAGATGATCGAACTCGAAGTCCTCTGCGGGATCCTCGGGCTCATTGCTATGTCTGATCCGACTCCAGGTGCCGTTAGCCCCCCGATGTCCGAGCATGCCCCGGATCCCAGAATGGTACCCCTTCGCAATCGAGTCCTCTTCCCCCGCTATCGATGCATTCAACATCGGTAAATGTCGTTGGTCTTCGGTTAGGAAGAGATAGAATGAGGCTACCGCTAGAGCTCCCCCTGCTACTAAATCTACCAAATAATGATGTCTGAGGAATTGGCTCCAATCAGATATCAGTTTACTATATTCATATTGGAGAGACTTGGATGACATGGGAGATTGAAAGGAAACTCTAGGGCTGAACGCACGTGAGATACATCGTACTCCAATAGAGTATGAAGGCATAAGTCCAATAGAACACCCTCCATCTCGGGAAATAGTGGGACAGGAACAAAGCCTCAAGAGTTGCAAAGCCTGCATGCAAACTGGGGAAGGCTCCAAAGACGATCGGCGAGTTTCGGAAGGTGGTCGTATACCCTTGGGAGTGGAAAATCGCGTCGATCCGAGCAAGACCGCCCGCCTCACCTGGCATGTCGTAGTTAGCCGGTGTGAGACCGTGGCTGAGCTCGTACCCTTTTTTTATTATAATGTACACAAAGAGGATTAGAGCAGGTTCCGTTTGTTTTATTCTGAGGAGCGAGATCATAAGGATATGTGAGCGGGGGGAGAAGATTTACAGGGCGGTGCACAGGGAAAGAAGATCTGGATGACGACGCCACTGAGGTTCATGTAGCCGAGCGCCTTGCCATAGAATTTGACGGCGCCGGGGCCGCCGAAGACGAAGAGGAAGATAGCGACGACGAAGGGGAGGACGAAGTGGAGGACGCCGTAGGGGAGCCAGGCGAGGATATCGAGGAGGGGATGGGTGTAGCGGGTGAGGATGTCAGAGATGTTGGCGCCGTAGAGGACGGACTCGAGGGTGGGCAGGATTGAGACCCAGATGTGGATCTTCGAGCGGAAGGACATCGGGATGTAGCGGTTCGAGAAGAAGAGGATCACCCATGTGAAGATCGGTGAGGCCGGTAGGAAGAACTGTGAGGTCAATGGGACAAGTAGGGCGCTCGTGTAGAGGATTATCAGAGAGATCTTTATCACTGTCTCACCACAAAAATCACGTTGAAAAAATCAAGTCAGCCATCTTTTTTTCCTGCTTATCTAGCAAAGAAAATATCGACCAACTACTTACGCCAATGCAGCCCGCAAAACCACAGACTTAAACCAGAGACGGTGATCATGATAAGGTATTGGGCATCTCCTTTGAGACTCCAACGATGTGCTTTCAGTTTGGCGATTGTTTTGGAAGGTGAAAGAGAGAAGTCTAGACGTTGAGTGGCGGCAAGGATGGCATTGCTGAATACAATTGTTTTTTTTTTTTTTTCAAGAAAACAAAACGTCAAGCGTCAGTTTTATTTTTTATATTTCTTCAACATCATGATTGATTGAATGAGAAAGAGAGAGAGAGAAAAAGAGATTTTACAAGAGATGAGGAGATATCCTGCTGATCGATTTGCTAGACCTCGACATCCACTGATTGAGACCGAAGCAACGAGAGATTCTGCGAGTGTTTGACTGAATGCTCATCTTGTTGTTTGCCGGTTCGCTATAATTCATCCTCGAGACTTCATGAAACTGATGGTTTGATGACTAGTATTTTCCTTGAAGTTGTTGTTGTTGAAGTTGAGCAATTTGCCACTGGATGTGCTCGAGTGGTGGTGGAAAATGCTCCGGACCGACCCAGCGTTCGGACACCCGCCCAAGACCCGACCCGACCCGAGACCCGCCACTCCTTCTCAGAATCTCACCAGGCGAAACACTCAATGGGGCTAGTGATTGTTGCAGGCCGAAATCGACCAGGGTCGACGTAGAGCACAAATCGCTGCTTCAACGTTTGGAAATCGCCCGCTCGGATAATTAACGCTTGGAGCAAGCAAACCTAAGCAACCGACTTCTGAATCTTTCGAATTACCTTGGCTTTTTTGGGGCAGGCCAAACCCGTGCAGCAACCAGCAAAGGTCATCTCCAATCTGGTGAGAGTCACTGCCAAAATAATTGTATCAGATTTTTACATCTGGCACTATGTCAGATAAAAATATCTGATATCACATCAGGAAAAACTGGGATTGTATCTACCAGAATTGATATTGTATCTACCTAAAATGATATTGTGTCTATCATGAAAGATATTACATTGGAACACCCTATTCAATGTCAACATAACTGAATTCATATCAGAGTTTTCTATCTGATTTAATGCCCATGGGCTAAAAATTTGTATCAGATGTAAAAATCTGATATAAAATCAGTTATGTTGACATTAAATAGGTTGGGCTGATGCAATATCTGTTATGATAGATATAACATGGTTTTAGGTAGATACAATATCACTCCTGATAGATATAATACCAGTTTTGCCTGATGTATAATCAGATTGTTTCATCTGATGTAATGCCAGATGTGGGAATCTGATATAATCACATTTGCAGTGAGTGAGAGAAATTCTTTCTGGTCTAACCTTTTTTTGTTTTCTCTTCAGTTCTACTCTTGCTCATCTTTCTATCTGTTCTTCTCTAGTCATCTACTTCTTGTAAGAACTCAAAATCAGACTGGTAAATTGTTTCTTTCAATCTCTGTCTCTTTCTCTGTTTCTTCTTTCATTGATTCTTTCTTCTCTTCACTCAATGCCTCCGTTTTTAGGACCCTACTTCAACAGCCCCCACTCTCACAGGTCCGTCCACACAAATACTCTCATGATGTTTCCTACAAGAATCTGGCTATCATTCAAAAGCAAGACCACCAGCGTTCGAACAATAGGGCTCGAGCTTGTTGATGATCTTGCGGGGGCGGTAAAAAATCAATACCTGCATTCTTTGCGTGACATTGACAAAGCGGATATCACCCTTCATACCACTGAACAGGCAGAGGCGCTGACTTTAGACTCACACCTTGAAGAAATTGGTGCACAACTCTCCCCTTGCGGCTCCCGGGACACTCCTCTGATAGTGAAAGGTAAGCTTCTGTCCTGTCTTCGTCCAAGCTCTTGTGCCAATGCCAAGTCAAAGCTGTCGCTGTTCTCCCTCTCCCTGTATGATTATTAAACATCCTGTCCTGTTGTTTCTAGTCATATCAAATGTTGCCCCAGAGACTCCTCTTACAAAGAATGGTATTCCTAAGATAATCTGGCTATCATTCAAGGGCAAGCTCACCAGCGTTCAAACAAAAGAGCTCGAGCTCATTGATCACCTTGCAAAGGTGGCAAGAAATGAATTCCCGGGTTCTTTGTGTGGCATCTGCTCATCAGATATCACCCTTCATCTCACTGAACAAGCAGAGGCAATGGCTTTAGACTTGCGCCTTGAAGAAATCGCTGCACAACTCTCCCCTTGCGGCTCCATGGAGACTCCTCTTATAGTGAGATGTGAGATTCTGTCCTGAATGTGTCCAGGCTCTTGTGCCAATGCCAATTCAAAGCTGCTGTTGCTGTGCTCCCTCTCCCTGCAATGCAGATTCTGAGGCCCCATCATAACCTCCAAGACATCATCTGTCCAGGATCTTGTACAGTCACCTCTCAGTTGTTTATGGCTGGTTTGTTTGGATTACACAACCCCACCCCACCAACATGCAATCATGATACTTGGGTTTGAGAAAATGATTCTGAATAGAAAAATATGAAAAAACTGATTTTTAAAATTTACAAAACATATTACAGCTCTTGTACGTTTTTTCAGAAGTTTTAATATTGCTCCAAATGAGAAAATAGAAATTGGAAATTGGTGTATGGTATGCTGAAGGAAAGTACCAGATTGTGGTTTTATACTGATGTGGAGTGAGGCGTTCATTGGCCTCACAGCGGAAAATACAGTGGAAAAGGCAGTGTGATCAAATTCAACTTGCATTTTGACCTGGATACTGAGCTTGGAATGATTTCTGGAATTGATTTTTTGTTTCATTTATTATCATTCTTCGTGCATACCATACAAGTCATTCCAATCTTATCTTATATCATTTCAAGCAATATTGAAACTTCTGAGAAAAAAGTCCAAATAATTGTATTTCTTTTTTTTTTTGAAAATTTCAAAAAATCAGCTTTTTCATCTTTTTTGTTTTCGGAATCTTTTTTTTGAAACCTGTTTTATATCACTTGCCCTGCAAGCATCATGATTTGAAGTTGGAGGGTTAGGGTTGTGTAATCCAAACAAACCAGCCAGAAACAACTGGGAGGTGACTATGCAACAATCATGGACAGCCAAACAAGGCCTGAGCAAAGACCTATCAGATACCAACACAGCTTCAGTGTAGATTTTCTTCATTTTTTTTGGGGGGGGGGTGGGGGGGATTTCCATCCCAAGGCAAGCATAGACATGAACACTCTCTCACTGGCCTGCACACCTAGTCTAGAAGAGGGGGTAGGAACCAACCACTTCTGTCAATTGATCCCAATCCATGTGCACTGCTATGGACACTCTCCAAAGAGCTTAGGAAGCCTCAGCGGTTCCAATCAGCCACAATGATGATGCACCCCATTTAAAGCAAGCTCCCAATTCTCCTACAATTGAGGAACAAACAGCTTGGGTCCAGGAAGCTAAAAACAAAGCTTGAACATTGTGACCTCCACTTATATATTGTAGTGAACACATCTCTGCTATTTACCCATTTTTATACACATAGCTCCCTTGAGTCAACCAGGATCCCAAATCCCTCCCTCCCTTCTCCCACAAGCACTCAAATCCTTCCAAGCTCTCCCTCTTTTCTCCCCCTCATTCCTTCCATCTCTCTCTCTCTCTCTCTGGTCCTCTCCCTCCTCCCACAAATTGCATTCAACCCCCCCCCCCCCCACAAAAAAAAAGTCTTGTGTATACAAAATAATTCTTGATCAACACAGAACAACACAACAAAAAACCAAAAAAACCCTCTAACAAAAAAGGGACGGATTAGGGCCAAGTCTGATTGACATTTGTGACCTACCATCAATTATTTTGAGGGGGGAAAGGTTGTTGAGCCAAAGAGCCTACACGGGATTACAAAGACCCTCAAAAGCAGGCCAAGCCCACCCATGTTGTTGTTGTTGTTCTTTTCTAGCGATCTATCTTAATGACCCACAACAAAGAACAAAAAAAAAGTCAAATGATGAGACTACACATCTACATCTACAACATACATCATCATCAAAAAAAAGACCCCACAAGAGAAAAAGAAGAAGATTGATCACCAAAAAAAAAAAAGAAGGAACCACTGGACTCTCTAAACTCTAACAAAGATGAGCATAACCACCACTACCAAAAAACAAAGAACCTATCAGAAAAAAGGTGAAGCAGGACCGAAAAAAGGGGGAGGGAGAAAGGAAGGAGACCGATCAAGGATCGATGTACGGGGGAGAAACGAAGGCGTTCCTGGCACCCCAAAGCAACCTCCCCATCAATACAAGAACCCCCAACAAGAGAAACAACTTTGACAAATTCGACCATCAAGAAGGAGGGGAGGAGGGACTTACGAGGGACGATTGAGAGCGGAGTCTGGGCCAACTTTTGCCGCAGTATGGTCACCATGAGGAGGATCATTAGTGACGGAAGAAGGGCCCAAAGGAGACCGGGCTGCCGAAGGGAGCCGGACGCCAAGAGAAGACCCCGAGCCATCGGCACCAACACCAGTCTTAGAAGGTATCATGCCGTTAGAGGAAGAGGAGAGAAGAGGAGAGTGGCCCGGTTGGTCCAAGGTCTTCTGCTGCTGCTGATCAATGAAAGGCTTCATCTGACTACGCTTGCGAATGAACTGCACGTAATCCCCGCCCTCGTCTCCATTATTGGACGGAGGCCGGCCGACGAAAAGATTGGGCGATCCAGAGGCAGAAGAAGGATATCGATGATGATCGGCCGAGGTTTTCGAGCGAACCTTGGCAAGGACCTCGGCGGTGAGCGTTTGTCTGCGCGCCAGCGAGACCGGGTTTTTCTGTTTGCTTACGCCGCGCTGCTCCTGATGTAAAGATCTACCCGATGGTTGTTGATGAGTGTGAGAAGTAGGACTCGATGGATCGGTAGTATTACTTGTTGTACGACGGGTAGTCAGATCGGTCAACGGATTAAAGAAGCTTCTCTGGTTCATAGCAAGAGTAGAATCAGCATTAGTCCTACTACTAGTAGTAGTCGTATTAGTATGAGTAGTAGAAGGATTGGAAGCCAAAATATAGCGGGCCAAGTCGCCGGTAGAGTGATTATTAAGCACTGCGGAATGGGCGAGCTCGGTGTGATGATTGAGGAGGAGGGAGGAGCGGCCGCTGATGGAGGAGGGGCCGTTGAGGCCGGCGGGATTGGGATGGAAGAAGCCGGTGCCCAGGAGCGAGTTTCTGAGGTCGGAGACCGAGGGCGATTGGAGGATCGTCGACAGACTCCCGTTGGGCGAGCGGTTGAGCAAGTTCGACAGATACCCCTTCCGGATCGATTGTTGTCCCGACGAAGCCAGTCGAGCTCGGATGATCCCCGTCTCATTATTAACTCCCACTGCAGAGCCCACTCGTTGCCGATGGTGGACTCGGTTCGAGGCCGAATTACTGGCCATCGATCCTCGACGAGTTGCCGTACCTACCATCCAACCAGCTGTCCAAACCATCTCAACCCAACACAACTCGTCAATAAATTGTGATCAAACACGATTCATCTCTCACTCACCAACTGTGCGCGCCTCAATTAACGACCACTGATGGGACAGGAAGTGGGCCTCTAGAGTCGCCCGATCCAAGCCCGACTTTTGCTGGACGAGTGGAGAGTTACAGACCGCTTTGACCAGAGAATCCCAGTCGATCTGACGCGTGATTCGGTCCCCATCTTGGATATTAGGAGTCTGATCCGGTTGATCATCTTCATATGAAGAAGAACTTTTACCAAGCGTGGTTGAGAGCTCATCGAGTTGCCAAACTTTAGCGATCATCATCAGGCAATCCAGGACGAAATCTTTGTGCTTGATGAGTGGATGACCTCCACCTGATGGCGAAAGAGGTCGATGATTATCAACCGCCGTTTCCGGGATAGACTGATTGCCTGAGTTTTCCCTTCTGGATTCCAATGTCACGGACATCATCATCACCTGGTCCATTTCGCGTAACATGGGTAGACAGACTGAGAGGATGAGATATTCTTGATGGCCGAGGATTTCAAGCAAGCATTCATACAAGCCAGGCTCAGTACTTCTTGAGTTGCTCCCGCCGTTGACGACGGTTATGTTGGTCGCTTTGGGGCCTGATTGGAGCGTCCCATGGGGAGGTTCAGAAGGAGCAATCTTGTGATCAACTTCGGATGATGAAGTTGTGTTGGAATGAACGGTTTGATCAGGAAAGGGAAGGGAGTTTGTTGCTGAGTTGATTGAAGAATTGGACATGAACTCGCGAAAGAGACAGACGTTAAAGGCGCTAAGGAACTGAAGAAGATGCTGATCGGCGCCTGGTTTAGAAGTTTGGAGTGGATGGAAAGCTTCATACTTGAGGAAGCTGAGCAGGGCTCTAAAGGATGCCAGTCGACATTGAGGATCTTGTAAGTCAGCTAGGATCGATAGACTGTCTTTCCACAGAGATAATCCCACTGGGAGATGTTCTGATCGAGATGAAGGATTAGTAGATGAATGCGTGTTCGTATTGACGATGATCCGCTCGAGAGAGTCAAACAGAGCCACCACGAATGCAGGTTCAAAACTCGAGCAGGGGCCATCTTGAGTACTCTCTGAGGGTTTGGGTTGGACGATGAGTTTGATATTGCCCAAGATATCCTTGCACATATCATTGATCTGTTCATCATAATAAACCGTGCGAGCCAAGGAGCCAATCAATTCCACCAACAGGTCCCGCAATCTTTGAGAGTCTTGAGTGGGTTGATTGAGTTCAAGGATCGACTGAATCAAGCGTAAGAGCTGGTGTAAGATATTGAGAGTGTTGAGTAACTGGATCGAACTAGCGAGTGGATCGGTAATCATAGCATTCAACATCCCAGCCATGATGATCATCTTTTGTAAGTGAAGTTCATGGGATAGTGTGGCTGTTGTTGTTGATTTTGACTTTGACTTCTGCTGCTTCGAATCAATCAAAGTCAGTCGATCAACAACCAGGTCGATGACACTCGATCGATACTTAGCCATCGCCCAGTGCAACAATGATTTACCAAACCAATCATAGTACGCCCTCGAGCCAATTGTCGAGATGGTCGATTCAATTTGGTTCAGCATCTCATTCACACATCGTTCGAATTGGTTCAAGTTGGTTAATTGGACGCTCAGTAAGAATGTCAAGCTCTTGATCGAGAACTTGATCAGATCGATTTCCGTTGATTTGGAGGTCTCCGGTGGTGATACAGGAGTGATGATGGATCGGAAGTCGCTGATCTCTTGGACCAGTTGATTCTTCTCTGTTGGTGAGCGTGGTGTCTGATCAGAGCAGTCTAGACAGGCCTGATGTCTAGTAAGAAAACAAGTCAGAAGAGAGAGAGAGAGGGAGGGAGGTCGGATAAAAATTGGAGTATGACTATATGTTTTTTTTTTTGATGAATACTCACATGAGGGTGATTAGTTCGTCTGGCGGACGGTGTGGGCTTGGGATGATAGAAGACATCAAGCCAGGGAGGATCATTCGAAGCTGTCTCTCGAAGTAGGGACTAGAGTACAAGCCGGGTGCTTTGACGGTACTTTCGAGAGCCATGAGGGCCATACATCTAGCACTAGGAAGTGATCAAATTAATTTTTAAGCTTGCGTGATCGGTCAATTTTGAATAGAGGACTAACGGCTTGGGTGTGATGGTGGATTGATGATCGGTAGTGTGAGATTGGATGAGGGACGAGGTGGGTGGACAGAGGATGGCGACAGAGGAGAACTTGGCGAGGAAGAAGAGATAATTGCGAGCGAGTTGTTCATCCTGTAAGCAATCTGGTCTGATCGACTGTGCATAGGTCGAGAAGAGGTCGATGGTAGCCCTTGTGATATCCAAATCTTGAGAGACCCAATCAGATCCGAAGTAGCCGGAATCAGTAGTTGAGCTTGTCTGAGTTGTTGTTGTTGTTGTTGTTGTTGTTGTTGATGGTGTTTGTACTAGTGGTGAGGATGAGAAGGATTGGTTGAAGAGACCGAGGCCGATGGCGATGATGGTTGAGAGGTGTGGTCCTAGGATTCTGAGGTTGATGGTTGGGTTTCCGAGGAGGGCATTGAAGATCTTGATGGTGCAGATGAGGCCTGGTTTGGAGTGACGGTAGACTGAGAATGAGCTGGTGAATGAGGATGGCAGTGCTTGAGATTGAGCATATGAGATCAGATAGGTGGTGATCTTTTGGATCTTGTGTGGCCTGGTTGAGCAGTAGTAGATCAGTTTGCTGAGTGAGTTTGGGTCGGGTGAGATTGAGGATAGGTTCTTGTTCTTGACTGCGATTGGATAGCATCCATTGACACTGTAAGCAGAGAGAGTGTGTGTGTGGTTAGTCTTGGTTGATGAGTGAGTGAGTGAGTGAGTGAGCAAGTTTACTGACAGTTTCTTGTGGTTTGAGGTTATCATTTTTTGGTTTTTTGGTTTTTGGTTTCCTTTCCTCTAGTGAGATGGTTGTTTCCTCTGAGACTGAGATGGTGGTGGTGGTGGTGGTGGTGGTGGTCCTGCTGTGCTGGTTTTTTGGTCAACAGGAGTGATTCTGAGTGGGATGCTTATCTAATCATCATCCCCCTCAACTTATGTAATCCGATCATCATGCTTATATAATGCGCACAGCACAACCTTAATTTACAACGCAGCCACACAGCAAGAATTAAGAAGCATACATGCGGCAAAGAAGGTGAGCACATAACTGATCCCGGGAAAAACCCCGACACCTACTTGATCAATGTGCTATGGATGCTGGATAACATATGACTTGAATATGTTGGACAGGGTCTCAAGCTTTTTTTTTCTATTTTAATGTGTCTTGCCATTCAGAGAAGAAAAAAAAGCATACGAGGATTTAAGCTCAACCAACAAGCATCATTAATTATCTCCCTCAACTTGTTAAATATTTGGCAACATTCATGAGAGGCTTAATTATGGGGCAAGACAAGATGTGATGGTTTAAGCTTTGGTCTATCTCTTATTTTTAGATTATTGAACCGCTCAAGAATCAGTAGAAATAATAGACAGATAGGAAAACGCTGACAGCTTTGGGCTGATTTAATTTTGACCAAAGTCATGCATGAAGATAGAAGACCTCACTCAGAGCTCTTGAGCTTGAAGTGCATACAATCTCATCATGGATGATATCCTCATTCAATACCCAAATGAACTGGTCTAACACCAAGAAAAAAAACATCCATGAAGATCTTGAATCCATCAAAGGCTCTGGAGCCTTGTTTTGTAAGTGTGACTGTCTGGTTGGAGAGCTTCAAAATTCACACCGCTTTCGAGCCAGCTTTCAAAATGAAAATCCCAGCCCATATCCAGAAAGTGCAAGCAAGTGATGTTTTGCACCCTTGGAGACAAAAACCATCTCTTCTTGGTTGACAATGCAGCTGTCACTTGATGGTAAAATGTGCCTCAAATAACAAACATGTGTTATGTGTTTCGGTCCAAGTTTTGGATAGTTGCAACAAATTCAAGTATTCCTTAAGTTGAGATTTTTTTCTTTTTTTCTTTCAGTAAAAATGGCTTTCCGGACAAGGTATTTCGGATTTGTGCTTCTTAAAGTAAAGGTTCTTTGATGGGTATCAATGACAGAAACGTTGTCAGGAAATTGGACAGAAAGGTGTGAATCTAAAATTCGAAAGCGCGATCCAAGTCCTTATGGATGAGTTCTTTCATGCCGTCGGGCATGATAGGCTGACCGTCAGGGGATGCGAGATACCTGAAGGGCATTTCGACTTTCTCCTTGGGACTGAAGACGAGTTCGGGCTTGACGGTCCAGGGGAGCTGGTCGAGAGTGTGACGGTCCTCGACGACCCGTTTGGTGACGGCGAGTGCGGTGTCGGTGGTCATTTGGATCGGGCCGAGATGGCGGGAGGGGAAGCCACAGACCCGGAGTTGGGCGGTCCGGTCCCGCGGAGGATCGTCGCCAAGGATCCCGCCGAAGAGGAACCATCGGAACTTCCCACCATCTTCCGGCTTTAGCTCTTGCTCGGCTTTCGGATCCAGTAAACACACCTCCTCCAACCCCACATCGAGCCTCTTCATGAGATCTAAGATCGAAAGCCGAGTGCACACACACGGCGGGAGATCGTTCTCGGCGATTGCCGAAGACGAGGGATCCGGAAGGGTCCCTGCGATCGAACTTGATCCCGGACTGACCGAGCTCGCTCGAGTGTTGATCTCGCTGAACAGAGCCTCGCAGGTGGGCTGTGATAGGTGCGAGAAGAAGACTTTCGATTCCGTCGGACTGGTCTCATGATCCTCTGCTTCTTCCCGTCTCGTGAGGAGCTTGGCATCCTCCTTGCCTCCAACGATTCCCACCTGTTGGAGCATGTGGAAATACTCTAAGAGGACCCACTCCGGCAGAGGCTTCGACGGCGTCTCCTCGTCCGGCTCCATATGTTCTGTGCTTCGACGGAGCCTCGTCAGTTACATGAATCATTATCCTTGAACCGAAAATTTCTCACTTGCCTATCGCGTATACTTTGCCCATCCTTCTTTGCCTTCCACTCGATCGTGATGTGAATGTGAGGGTGACTGAAACGGACTTCAGGACTGGCTCACTTCAAAATTTTCGACAAGTGAGCCGACGATGCGCGGAATCTCGCGGGGGCTCGGGACTTTGCTCCGCCCAGCCGCCAGACCCAAGTCCCTGGGGGTCACGGGTCTCCGGTAGCGCTGGAACCTGCGGGGTACCCGGGCATTTTGGCCTTGCCCGCGCCCCGACCCGAGGGTATTCCCGTCCCTCGGGTACGAAAATCAGTGAGACCGAGGCCTACCCGCGGGTATAGGGAACGGGCCACGGCTACCCGCGGGGTTGAATTTGGGCCGGGTAAACCCGCTCATTGGAGGGTATACCCGCTCAGCATAGGATATATCCGCCGATACAGGGTCCCGCCTCGGAGATACCCGCGGGTACCCCGGTTTGGGGACGAGTTGAGGCCACTTGGCCCCTACTGCCCCTCCTCCAGCGCAGACCCGAGATACCCGCGGGTATCTCCAAGGCGGCCCGTGGACCGTACCCGACCTACCCGTCAGTCTTCGGGCTCCTGAAAAGCGGTCCCGGAGCCCTAAACCGTTGGTGTACCCGCCGGGTATACCCGGAGGTCCCGGGAACGGGTTCCAGCGCTAGTCTCCGGTGCTCTCAGAAAGGTACACCACAGGTGGCGAGCGACGTTGAGCCCGCATCACACGTTTCGTCGGCCTCACTCGTCTGACCCCGCCCAAAAAAATGGCAGGGCTATGAGCGGGAGGTGTCGATGCCGCTGTCAGCCCAACTTGTGATGTGGGCCTCTCGTCAGATCATGTTGTGGGCATGACCGCGACGGCTTCTAACGAGAAGCAGACGTCAGCGGCCCCTCGTGGGTATAACGAGTTGCAAAGAAACTGGGAGGCTTGGTCTTGAGAAAAAGAGTTCTCCTCCCTTGCCTTGAACCTGCAACCTACGACCATGCTGGTGCTAGGCATGCCTGGTGATCAGTGCAGATCAGGCATCAGCAAGGGGACATAATTACCACTCTACGAGATCAGTCTTCCCCTTGGGCACATTAACAGCTATATGAACTACTATTCCATTAAATCTTCTTCAGAAATTTGGCATTTCTGTTGAAGACAATGGTTATATATATATTTTTTTTACATTTTGAAACATAGGTAGCCCCTTTCTTGCATGGAAAGAGGCCCAGAAAACTCGTTTTTAAGAAAGTTTTTTTTCTAAAAAGCCTATCCAAGTCATGCCAACAAAATTGGGCATGACATCATCCCCACTGACACTGAGCTGAAGCCCAACACACAGCCATCATCGTCTTCAGTTTGTGTTGGGCCGACCTTTGGATCATGGTAGATGATCCTGATGTCAAGACATCAGGATCATTCATGGTGATCCAAAGGTCGGCCCGACCTCAATTTTATGACAGCCCACAACCGCCGTCAGATTTGTGAAAAGCAGGTTATGGCTGACCCGCGCCAACCAAATCCCAACTGCGCTGTGGGCCTGTCACACAGGAATGAAAATTATCGACCTGTGGTGTACGCATACAGAGAGGTTTAGGGGTCTAAACTGTAAGGGTGCGTACCATAGCTGCCCACGGGCTGCTGATTTCCATTTTTTGGCAGTAAACGTTTTTGACCAAAAACACGTACCACAGGGGTCATATTTTTTGACAACCCAACTAATTGTTTTTTTGCATTTGCTGCTGTTTGAGGAAACAGCCCCACCCCCGTTTGAAAAAACAGTACATAGTCATCATATACAAACTCTACATACTACGGAAGCCCACAGGGTGCAGAAATCGTGCCAATCGCGCCATCCCCCCCCCAAAAAAAACTCATCAGGCGGTTTTGTACATACACATACACTACCTTGAACATGTTTCAGCAAGCATTGTTGACGCCACATCGCTTCAGACTCACTGCCCTTGTGCGGCTCAATACTCATGGATGGTGAGGGTTATGCCAATGGGAGATGTACATATTTACTTGTTTAGAGTAGTTACTCCATTTCTTGAGTTCATCCGTATGACAATGACTTTTCCACTTCTTGTCAAAGGAAAAATGAGATCAAAGGAATCATGAAATCAAAGGAAACACAAAATCAAAGGAAACATGAGACAGAAAAAAGTGAAAGCTGCTACAAACAAAACATCTACCCTAGCTGAAACTTGTGCGCTAAGCAACAGGATTCTAAAATCTTTGAGAATATTTGTCAATAGCTACTGCTGCACAGAACTTTCCTCGAGACCACAAAGGCTTAACTGTTGATTTAATCACAGAATTTTCCAACTCATTTTCACATTCATCACCAACAACCATCTTTGTGAACTCATCCCCAGTGACTGGTTGCTGTTGTTAGCATGGCATTTGAATCTTCTGAATCAAGCGTTGAACAGGGTAGCTCCTTATATGAGGGTTTCCACACAAATTCTCAAAGGCCTTCTGTCAACTCAAACAAAACATTTTCCACTTTTACATGCTTCAATGAAGGCTATAACAATCATAGCAAATCTGTTCAAGACCGCGCAAACTATTCCAATTACGATGAAGACTTTGACAATACTGGCACACATGAAGAACAGTGTAGCACCTCTTCTGATTTGGACCAAGACTGTTTGGATCGTACTCTCTCTGACAATGAAGCAGCAGAAATTCCTTCCAATTATGATCAGGACTACTTCAGCATGTAAACAGGCCGGGTTCGGGTTGGAAAACAGTGACCAAGCCCAAACACAGCTCAGAAGCGGGTTGGGCCAATTTCTAAAATAACTTGACCAAACCCAAACTCCATTGAATGAAGACGGGTTTGGGTTGGGTTGGGTTCCGGTGAACCCGCAATCTTTCACTGGCTGGCTGGAGGCACAACATCATATTTCAATTTTCTCAGTTGGAGTACAAGACAAAAAAATCTTTGATGAAATTGTTGAGTGGCAAGCAACCTGCCCAAACCCAACCCAACTGAGGGGCCGGGTCTTTGCGGGTTGGGTCAGAAATTAGTTTTTTGACTGCAGATCTGCCCAAACCCAACCCACAACCCGGCGGGTCGACCCAACCCATTTACATGCTGAGGACTACTTGCAACGGTGGGCCAGTTACACTAACCGTAGTGTTAGTGCAGCGTAGTGTTAGCTTTTTAAGCTACACTACACAAAAGTTACCGTTAGCGTGAATTTTTGGCCCACTAACACTACAGGATTTTTGAAAAAGCAAAAAAAAACTTTAGCGTAGTGTTAGCTACCTTTAAAAAGGCACAACTAACACTACCCAAAATCCTGTTAGTGAAATTTTAGTGGTGTTAGTGGGTGAACCCACTACACTACATGTTAGTGTAACTTTTTGCAAAGTTACACTAACAGTTAGTGTAGTGGTACGCTCAGTTACACTAACTGTTAGTGTAACTGGTGAAAAAGTTACACTAACTGTTAGCGTAACTGATTAAAAGTTACATGACCACATGACTAGCATTAGTATACCCTGAAGACAGTGCCTGATTGGGGGGCCTACATCCAGATCCCCTCAATTGATCATCATTTTTTTCAGTTGGTAATGGGGGCCACTCAATTTTAGCCCCCTGCCAATTTTTAACACTTACTTGCAAGACCACATTCCCCTGTCAGACTACCTTGAGATTATGGGTTCAATTCCCCCTCAGACCATACTTTACTGGGTTCCATTCCCACACTTGCTCAATTTCCACTTTCACATCATGTAGCAAGGGGGGGGAGGTTGAGGTGTAACCATGATGTATCGCCAGAGTGTGGTGGAGCTGTTGGCATGAACCATGGCAACTACCACCCAAATAACCTTACAACCACAAGGGTCTGTAGCCTAGTTGGTAAAGGAAGCACTCTGGTATGTGACTCAGCATTGCTGAGGTTTTGAGTTCAAATCTCACCAGGCACATCCTCTGTTTGTTTGTCTCTGCATCTTGTGCTGTTCATTTTCTGCGGGATTGTGTGTGATCATAGGACATTGAAAATCGTCACTATGGACCTCGGCCGTATCAGTTATATGGACAGTTCACACAACTTGTCCATTGAAAACAGAAAGCAGAGGAAGAGGGTTCAAGAGCATAAATTCTCACTTGACATGTCAATTTCTCTAATTGATGATTTACACTACACTACATGTGTAGTGTAACTTCTACTGTAGCGTAGCGTAACTAGGCATGTAGTGTAGTGTAGCGTAGCTTAATTTGGTATAAGTTACACTAAATGTTAGCTTCAAATCAGTTACACTATCTGACAGTCAAAATTTTGTTAGCGCAAAAAAAGTTACACTAACTGTTAGTTTAGCTGAGATTATTTGAAGCTAACACTACCAAAAAATTTGAGAGAAAAATTTACACTACACTAACAGTTAGCGTAGTGGGGTTTAGCGTCAGCTAACACTACAGAATTTCCAGGAAATAAAAAGGCCACTACACTAACAGTTAGTGGTCAAATAGCGTAGTGTAGCGTAGCGGCCCACTGTTGCTACTTGGTCAATTATGGCTCTGCCACTGAAGACCATACCGCTTCTTCAAACTCCAGCAAAGACCTTAGAGACCATAATAGCTGTCATGAAGAAATTTCAAATGGTTACAACTCTGATGAAGATGATTCAGGCTCTGATGAAGATGATTCAGGCTCTGATGAAGATGATTCAGGCTCTGATGGAGATGATCTAGGCTCCAATGACAAAAAAACAGGCTCTGATCAAGAATATTTGGCCTCAGATTGAGATGATTTTTCCCCCATCAAAAATAAAGCATCATCCACTAATGCCAATCAAACTAGTTTAGCCATCAAGCAAGTCATCTTATCCTTGAATGTGCACCGTGCTAAGTTTGCCAACCATAATTTTGGCTCTGATGAAGATGACGACCCCCTCACATCAGATTTCTCCTCATTCTCCAGATCTGATGACAATGATTTCTCACAAATATCTGATTCAGACTGCATCACAAGCAGTGATTCAACCAATAATTTGTCGCATAACGGCTTGAAACAGAGCCTTTTAGCAAAACTGCTTGCCCAAGGTCATCAAGGTTAGAGATGGGCGCATTGAATCCGGATATCCGCGCGGATGCGGATATCCGCTCACGATTTCAGCGGAAACACACATCCGCATCCGCCGGCGGATACCCGCCGGCGTTGGCGGGTATCCACGCGGATACCCGCGGATACCCGCCCTCTGAATGGGCGGCGAGGCTCTTCCAGGAGTGTTTGTTTTTAAAAAAAAGAAAAAAAAAAACCAGCCCCCTCGGCCTAAAGGGGCAGAGGCCACACCGTCGGGAGGAACCCCTCCCGGCGAGCGTCTACAGGCCCCCTCTCTTTGAGTGGAACTTCTCGGAGAGCTTTTGCAGTTTCCTTTCCCTAAAGGAATCCCTCCCCCAAGTTGATTCTGTATTGAGCTGAGCGTAGATAACCATCTTGCCGCCAGTGATGTGGGACCTAGCCGGGAGGATCTGAGAGAAAGGAGTGATCCGTGGTCTTGGAGTGAGGAG